AAATCTCATACTCTCCTGGAGCAGACAACATTCTTAGTTGTGTTCTCAAGGAGTGTTCTAGTTCCCTTTTACAACCATTACTTAAACTTTTTAATCTGTCACTTGGTTCCTCAATCTTTCCAACTATTTGGAGAGAATCTTTTATTATTCCTCTTTATAAAACGGGTGGTAAGTCTGATATTTCAAACTACAGAGGAATTGCAAAGTTGTCTGCCATACCAAAATTATTTGAAAAAATAGTTTGCAGCACTTTGCAGCACCTCTGTAAATCTGTCATATCTCCAGCTCAACATGGATTCATGAAGAGACGGTCTACTACGACCAATTTGCTGGAATTTACTTCCTTGGTAAATGAAGTATTTATTCTAAAAATGCAGACTGATGTCGTCTACACTGACTTCAGTAAAGCATTTGACTCTGTGAACCATGATCTTCTGCTCTTTAAGCTAAGTCGTATAGGATTTCCCTCCGCTTTTTTGAGTTGGATTTCGTGTTATCTAAAAAATAGGACCCAACGGATCTTGCTTAGGTCGCACATTTCTAAGCCCGTGTTTGCATCATCAGGTGTGCCTCAAGGTAGCCATCTTGGCCCCTTACTTTTTACATTATTTATTAATGACCTCCCCTCTACCTTGTCACACTCTCATATTCTTATGTATGCTGATGATGTGAAACTTATTCTGACTTATAAAGACCATACTCATTCTCATCGCCTGCAGGATGATCTGAACTGCATGCAATCGTGGTGCTTAGCTAACCACTTGTACCTCAATTGCGCTAAGTGTAAGTTCATGACATTTCACCGAACATTGCAACGTATATCGACTGTTGAAGACCTTGGGGTTCTTTTTGATTCCAAATTGAACTTCAACCTTCACATATATAGTATTGTCAATAAGGCTAAGGGGTTACTTGGATTCATTAAACGTTGGTCCAAGGAATTCAATGACCCATATACCACTAAGCTTCTTTACACTGCACTAGTACGCCCTGTGCTTGAATACTGCTCATGCGTTTGGTGTCCGCAGTATAGAAAGCAACAGGAACGTATTGAGTCTGTTCAGAAGCAATTCCTTCTTTTTGCTCTACGTGGTTTAAGCTGGGATCCCAACCTCCGCTTGCCATCGTACTCTAGCAGGCTGATGCTTATAAAGATTCCTTCTTTAGTTAATCGTAGGACTGTTCTTGGAGTAGTTTTTCTCCACAAGTTGATTATCGGCGAGGTTGACTCCTCTTCCCTCTTAGGTCGCCTTAATTTTTCAGTTCCTTGTAGACCAACAAGGAATTATTTGCCATTCGTATTGTCTAGGTGCACAACCGATTACGCTGCGCACAATCGTTTTCGAGTCATGTGTTCCAATTATAATGAGCTTTCTCATTTACTTTCAACAGAACTCTCTCTTTATTCTATAAAAGTTCTTCTTTTTAGTTATCTCCGTGGAAATCTCTGACCACATACTGCTGTGAGTCGGGGCATAGCTGGCCGGACTGGCTTAAAACGTTCCCCCACCGGGTTGGAGATTTCCCTCTTTCTCCTTTTGTCTTTCTTGTTCCATCTTTCTCTTTCCCTTTCTCTTCCTTTCTCTCCCTCTTTACCTCTGTCTCTTTCTACTCCTTACTTTTTCTAATTAGCTCCTAAGTAGAATTAATTTTCCTCTTCTACATACTATTTGTTTAGATTGTCAGGTCTATAATGTCTCTGACCACATATGGCTGTGAATCATAGCTGGCCAACTGGCAAATAAAATTCCCCCAACGTGTCGGGGGCATTTATAGACGTTATTGTACAGCTTTTTTGTAGGCTTTCTTATCTTGTAAGTTCAGACTTTGTTATATTAATCATATTTGTATTTTTAATTTTAAATCTTAATATATATATAATATGTTAATACATATATATTGTTTTTGAATAAATCGACAGAACTACTTGTTGATTTAAATAATTAAATAAATAAAAAATCCTCGTCATCATGGTCCTGTTTTTTTGTGGAATGAGGAAATTGCACAGCTGCGGGTGGCATGCAATCGCGCCAGACGGCTCACCCAAAGACTGCGAGGCACTCAGGCGTTTCTCCACCAACTTAGGAACTGCATAAGATCCCTGAAACGAGCCATTCGTACTAGCAAAAGGAACTGCTTTCTCGAGCTATGCGATTCGGACCCGTGGGAAAGGCGTATAAAACAGTTGTGAAAAAAATCAGCGCAGGTCGGCACGAAGTGCCGTCCGCTCTAGACGTACTAGCTCAAATAGTCGGAGTACTATTCCCATCTAGACCGGCGACCAGAGAAGATGAATACAGTGTTGCTCGCCCATTCCAGGAGACAACTATGGTATCAGTAGCAGAAGTACTTGCAGTAGCAAGTTCTCTGAACGACAAGGCACCAGGCTCGGACGCAATCCCAAACCGGGCACTTATGCTGGCACTAGCGCTGCATCCTAGCTCCTTCGCAGAACTTTTTGAAAACTGCATAAATTCAGGGGTCTTTCTGGACTGCTGGAAAGTCCAAAAGCTGTTATTGCTTCCGAAACCAGGTAAACCACCTGGTGAGGCATCATCCTATAGGCCAATTTGTCTGCTGAACACGGTGGGGAAAGTTCTAGAGAAGCTACTCTGTACGCGACTGGAGGCAGCCCTAAGCGCTGCTGGCGGATTATCCCCAAACCAATGTGGATTCCGTAAGGCTCGTTCAAAATTTAATGCCATCGGCAAAGTAGTCGAGATAGCCTCAAACGCTATTAATGGGACGCGCAGGAAGGGTGGCTCTAAGATGTACTGCATGGTGGTAACGCTGAGATCGAGGTATCCCCGCGTACCTCTACCAATGTATTCGTAGCTATTTTAGCAAGAGGGTGCTAATGTACGAAACGTCAACTGGCACAAAGACGCACGAGGTGTCAGGTCGCAGGAGTTCCTCAAGGCGCAGTACTGGGGCCACTCCTGTGCAATACAATGTATGACGGCGTTTTGAAGCTGGATACAAGGTTATCCGTCCGCGAGCACCTCGCCCATGCCAGTACGAAAGCGTCCACGATGGCACGCGGTCCAAAGCAAGGAAGCAGACTCCTCATAACGGGCGTCGCACGGGCGATGTTGCTGTACGGAGCTCCCATCTGGGTTGAGGCATCAAAAATAAGGAGTTACATAAAGCCTTTGGATGTGACTTATCGCCTTAGCGCTCTGCGCGTATTCAGTGCGTTCAGGACCGTGTCAGACGACGCGGCCCTTTCAAGCTATTTGAAGCAAAATGGGCAATTAGAGCAGTTCTCCGATATTATACACAGATTTGGTATGGTACATTTCTCAGTAATCCTGGGTATAAGCTCCGGAATTCATTCATTTTCAAGCTATTTGAAGCAAAATGGGCCACTAGAACAGTTATCCGGGATTATACACAAATTTGGTGTGGTACATTTCTCAGTAATCCAGGGTGTAAGATCGGGAATTCATACATTTTCAAGCTATTTGAAGCAAACTGGGCATTTAGAACAGTTATCCGAGATTATGCGCAGAATTGGTGTGGTACATTTCTCAGTAATCCTGGGTATAAGCTCGGGAATTCATTCATTTTCAAGCTATTTGATGCAGTTCAATTAGAGAAGTTCTCCGATATTATACACAGATTTGGTATGGCGCATTTCTCATAAATTCAAGGTATAATCTTGAAAATTCATACATTTTCTAGCTATTTGAAGCAAAATGGGCAATTAGAACAGTTATCTGAGATTACATCCAGATTTGGTATGGTACATTTCTCATTAATTCAGGGTATGTGCTAGGAAATTCATACATTTTCAAGCTATTTGAAGCAAAATTTGTAATCAGAACAGTTAACCGAGATTATACACCGATTTGGTATGGTACATTTCTCAGTAATTCCGGGTATAAGATCGGGAATTCATACAATCCAACGAATCTTATCACCAATATGATTGCGGAGAAGCAATTTTGGAATGCCTGCTGCGATTTTGCAGCCACGGTCATAGGGGAGTTGCGCAGACTTGAGCGTGAACGTCAGCGAGGTCGGATGTAACCATACCGCCTGTAGTTCTTCACAACTTTTTCTTCACTTCCTTGTCCTCTCTCTAATATTATTGATTTTCTCCTGTACTGCTTTTTCAATAAAAAGAATTTAAAAAAAAACTGTTCTCTACGTGCGGTTGAAACAGTAAAGAGAAACAAAACAAAACCCATGGATGCATATGTACATATGTATATGTTTGTATATATACAGTGGACCATCGAATGCTGTTGTTTTATTGTAATAAATAGTGTTCAATGGTTTAAAATCATAAATTAAATTTTTAAAACGAAAAGCAACCGCAAGTCATTGCCACGCTCTTATTCTTCCGTTCACATTTTCTTTATCATATACGCATTTTAATTGCAAAAGCAAAATGCCAAAAGTTTAAAGTTTAAAGTTACCGTCACTAGGCATCGACTGAGTAAGCGATAGTAAAGCAGAAACCGAATAACGGAGCTACGCATATTCTGCTTCGCATTGCGGGCAGATGTAGATATGTATGTATATGATTTGTTCTAATTGATTGTTACTTAGATATTCTGAATTGAATTTAAAATTAGGATATACATATGTACATGTACATTTTAAAAAACACATCAATCCGACTCTTTAATAAAATGCACATTTTAATGAGATCAAAAAAATTAAAATGCAAAAGTACCTTCTCTGGTAAACCACACATCAAAATTTAACATCCCAACAAAATATGAAAAAATGTTCGATATGTATGTACATACATATGTATACATGTACATTTTAATAAAATGCACATTTTAATGAGATCAAAAAAATTAAAATGCAAAAGTACCCTTTTCTGGTAAATCACACAACAAAATTTAACATCCCAACAAAATATGAAAAAATGTTCGATGTTTGGACAACATCCATGAAAAACTTCGTTAAAAAATTGTCGATGCTCGATTAATCGATACTTTTATACATCCCTAGACTGAACTGTTTTTATATCGTTCCGCATATCTCGGAAAATCGGACGTAAATATTACTTAAAATTGAAATGGAACCCTCGCCAGTTAATGATCCACTAGAAATTTTAACAAATAAAGGCACGAGAGCGTCTTCTTTTCTTTCGCCAATATGGAATCCAATGATATGCACAGTACTTGGTTTTGGCACAGCTATCTTCGTGAACTGGGGCTTCCGTAGACCACCATTCTCAGGTGAGTTTGTGGCCACTGCTGTGACGTAACATTGTTTTTATTCTAAATGCAACAATGACAACTAAATTTCATCGTATTTGTGCAGGAATACAAAAGCATCTAGCTTTTGCGGCCATTGGTGGCGCTGCAGGATTTTATTTTGACCAAAAACGCAATGAATATTTAGCCAAACGTGATGCGGTACTAAGACACTATGTTGAATTGCATCCTGAGGATTTCCCAGTGAAGGGTAAAACGATTTATTTTGATTCATATTACGAAGGTCAAATGTTTTTCTTTTGCAGACCGCAAGAAGTACGCTGATGTTTTGGAAGTGTGGGCGCCTATTCGTTAAGGTTATGTGGACATCTGTTTTAGTGGTAGCGGTCTCAATGAGCCCTTTCAAATGTTAACATGGTAATGTGCCCATGTTAATTTTTTTAAGTGCTTTACAATTAAATTGAGTCAAATTCTTATGAATGTAGTACTACACTTGAAATTAAATGAGCATTGAATTATTGATAGTTGAAGCAGACATCCAATCTTATGCACACTAAGCTGAAAAGCTAGACGACTGCTGACCCCATAGGAGCATGACTTTCTAAGCATTTCTTATTGTACCAGAAGCACCAAAACCACTGGAATCTGCATGATACTGCATGTACTGAATATTTGTTGCAACAAGATTATAAACATTTAGCTACTGGATGACATAATTCTCTTTGCGTGCTTGGGAGTGTTTCCTAAGCTATGTGATATATAAATCAAAATAAAATCCTAATCTAAAGTACTTGGTGTTATCCAGACTACAACTTTTATACTCTGTATCTGAGTTCACAAACTCCAGTATTAGTGATTTTTCATAATTCCTCAAAATTACATCCGGTTAGTGTTTATGTACATACATATGAATAAAGGCTTCGTTAGGTCCTGGAAAGCAGTAGTTAATGAGTTTTTGGATAAAAAGAGTACTTTTGACACAATCTCCAAATTTGGGGTTTGCATTTATCTAGAATCTAGACCCAAGGAAGTTTAAGTTTTATTTCGCACTTCTCTTTTTGAAACTCCTGTAATCATGAGTCAAAAGAAAAGCAACCGGGCAGATGTTTAGATTTTCTTAAAAAATCAACAATTATGAATAAACTAGTTGGAAAGTGGTATATCTCAGTTTGTGTTAAACATTTTTCCGATCGATTTCAAATTTGGGGACTGTAATCTACGTAACTAAATCTACAACTTTGCGTTCAAGGATTTTCAAAATATGCATTTTACAAATGCAGGCAGAGCAAACAATACAAAATATCAAACAGTTGGGGACAACTAAGTATACATACACACACACATACAAGCAGCTGTTCGTGTAGTTGCGTGCAAACGATTGAAATAGCCAAAGCAAAATGTAAGACACTAATGTGTGAATGTATACACATGCATATGTACACATCTATGTACATGTACACATCTATGTATGTATGTATGTTCATTCGTCTTGCACTGACAGAGCTAGAAATGTTAATTAAAATTTATTTAACATTTTTAAAAGTAATTTTTTCTGTGTTTAGTACATTTGGCATTCGAGTTTTCATTAGTAACTTTATGCAGCAATAACAAATTACAAAGAACGCAAATATCAAATAGTTGGGGACATCATATACACACACAGAACAAGCAACAGTTCGTGTCTATGTGTGCGGTTCTCTACGTACGGTTGAAAAAGGAAAGAGAAACATGCATGCATATGTACATACATATGTACATATGTATGTATACATTGGAAATTGAGCACTGTTGTTTGATTGTAATAAATAATGTTCTATGGTTTTAAATCAAAATTTTAAAACGAAAAAACAACAACAACTGCAACTCATTGGCTCGCGCTTCTTTCGTTTTGATCAAAATGCCAAAAGTTTACAGTTACCGTCGCTAGGCAACGACTGCGAAGCGATAGTAAAGCAGAATATGTACATATGTATATGATTTGTTCTAATTGATCTCAATAAATTATAAGATGTTATTATTTAAATTTTCTGTTAATTGCATTCAAACTTCGATGGAATTATTGATTGTATCGACGGATTCAAGCATCTCAGCTGATCGCATACTTACAGCGACTTACCGTTTGAGTGTTAGCTAACAACGCTACAAATGTATTCTGAACAAATCTAAGAGTCATTTACCGTTAAGCCTATTTTGTGAATGTATTCATGCGATTTACAAAAGCAGAAACACACCTTTAGAATATCATATAGTAAAAAAACTTATAATTATAAGCACATTTTACTTAGCCCAGCAAATACGGGCAAGACCTGTAATGAATAATCTAATTGAAGTCAATAGGGCTATTCTTATATCATATAATATTAATTACTAACGTATCCGGCTTGCATTGCATAGTCCTTTTTATACTCTGTACATGAAATGTACAAGAGTATACTTGTATTAGGTTTGCGGGAGCTGTAAAATGTAACAGGCAGAAGGAGGCATGGCAGACCTCACGAAGTATATATATTCTTGATCAGCGTGACAAGACGAGTCGATATAGCCCTATATATACATACATACTTCCATTTATATATATAGATATATTGATTAAGTATTAGTAAAAATTTGACTGTTTCATAAAAAAGGTTACTATTTTGAATTTTAATGCAAAAATCAACAACAACAAGAGAGAACACTGCAGTCAAGCAAACCTGACAGTGAAATACCCTGTACCCAGACAAACTTCCGATACTGAGTTATATACCCCTCTAGCAGAAGCAAAAAGAAGAAGAGCGAACTTGGTGAAGCAGTGGGCGGCATAGTACTGGAGTGAAATTGTTTCGCTAATAACTTTTCTCAGAACTGACCGATTTTGATCAAATTTAAAAGAAGAATAGATAATAGTATGTATAGAAATGGCTTGACCCAAGTTTGGTTTACGTAGCTTTTGAAATGTGAAATGTGACGAAATTTTATAACTCGCTATTCTCGGATCTAGGAAAATCTGGATATTGTTATTCCAGCTTTTAAAGTTTCTGATCGACGGATCTAGATCGATTTCTCTCGTCATGCTGATCAAGAATATATACGCTTTGTAGGGTCGGAGATGCGTTCTTCTGCATGTTACATACTTTGCACACCTAATATACCCTACGGGTACAAAGTGAAAAATCGCAATAAATTTTTATATCTTCTAAAGCTTACTTTGCGCATTAGCAACTGAAATACAATAATGTATGTAGATGCATATGAATGTTTGGGTTGTTGAATGGAACAAAACTAAAAAGGGGGCCAAATAAGTGGATAAGCTGAAGTCAGGTGCGCCGGCTATATCTATGCGTGGCTGTATGTTAGCATGTGCGCAGTATAGAGTTCAGCCAAACCAGCAACAACAACAGCTGCTGGCAGATCTTGGCACCTATCACGGTGAAACTTGATATACAGGCACATCACCACTGTTTTAAAGTATTTGCCAAATTTGAGTCAAAAACACTATTAATATCGGATGAGTGGCGGGAAAAACGAAAATTCTTAATTCCTCGTGCAAACCTTATATACTCTTGAACATTTCATGTCCAGAGTATAATAAAACAAACTTGCACAACGTACCCATAAGGCATCTTTGAGCAAAATTTGATGTATCTAGCTCTTATATTCTCTGAGGTCAAGGCCAACTCAAAAAAAAAAAAAAATAATAAATTTTTAAACTATTATTCTGCATAATAAATAAAATTTGTGAATATTTTACTAATTTTTGATAAATATGTTGACCCCCAAAATATTCAGATCAACCTTGATCAAAACTTTTAATAATAACTTGACCATAATTTAATGGATAAAAAATTAAACCAGTCTCAGCGCGAGATCTTTTATTGACGCATGGTAAATAATTACCAGGTATCTCATTACGCAATTCCGTTATTAGGAGTTCTCTTGGGCTCTGTCGCTCCAACTGCGACTGATATATTGTTTATACGCTTTCTATGCTCTATTCTCACAACAGTGCTTGTCTCCAAACCGACATTTTCGAATTTAAACCCTATAGGGACGTTTTTTAGGTAATAGGCTAATTATACGTGACAGCACTACAATGCGCATTTATATACATACAAAAAAAATGTATTTGATTAATTTGAAACTGAAACTTTCATTCACAATAATCCTATTGAAAATTTGATTTTATTAAAACAGCTGGCAGCCCTAAAATGTTGCCAGATGGCTGGCTCTTCGTTGTGTTTATACTTAGTGTATATGTAAGTGCAAATGTACATACTATTATTATAGGTATCTTAGCACCGATGCTTTCGGCGGATTTACCGGGAACTGCATGTATCTTCCGTTTAACTTCTTAAAGTTTGGAATATATTTTAGCAGTGCACTTTCTCTTAAAAAATTGAAATGGTTTTTGGGTAAGAATCACCGCAACATGGTAACCAGCAATTACGTAATTTGTCTTTAATTTTGATAGAATTCTGATACGCGGAGGCCTTGTTGTTGGTGCCGTATATTACACACGAAGTGCTGGGGTTTGGGGCAATACGGAGCAAACGGAAAAAATTTACAATGGCGTAAAAACTCAGCTTAGTCCATATTTTGTAAAAGTAACAAATCAACTTCCATTTGATATACCTCCATTGCCGAAGGCGGGGGAGATCCGGTTTCTGGCCAAGCACTATTACAATGTGGGTGTCAAGGGCACATTCCGTTTTGTGCATATGTTGCCTTGTTATGCTGGCAGAGGGATCAAGAAGGTTAAAGACACGTTTGAGGAGTTTTCTAAATCGCCGACAAGTACGGGCAGCGGCATTGGGGATTCGACTACGAAGCAATAAAATTAAAGCCTATAACTGTTACCCCCATCTAAAAAGTTAATGTAACTAAATATACAGTCGAAGTATAAAAATTAAGTATTCTATATTTGTTTTTTTTTTTTTGTTTCAAAAATATTTATAAATTTTTGTGTTCATGTGTACATACTTGTACATAAAAGAGTGGGTTAGCAGAGCTGAAAATTCAAGGATTTTTATTCATGTTGGCAGCATTGGTATTCACACCGGACTCAACATGATCATGTAATCATCATTAAATGTGTAATCCTATTGCCTGTCATTCTACCAGAGAAAAAATGCAAAACGGTAACTTGCTTAAAACGTTTGTTGACTTTATCAATATGGCTGTTGATTCCCGTTCGGAATCAGCTCCAATCGAGGCAGTGTATGTAAAGCCTCCTATAACCCTTTAGTGATTGAAATACAAATGCCCGTCAAAACAATTCACGGTGCAAACATTCAACGCCCTTAACATGGTCACTATTCTTGGTTCTAACTGTTTTAAACTTGAAAACAATAAACAATATACCATCGCTATTTTCACAGAATAGTATACATACTTCATACATGTCAGTTTTTTCTGATGTACTCCCCCCGCTATTAGTGATTTTCCATAACTACCGTAATTCTTGGAATTTCGAACTCAAATTTAGTAGTCACATCCAGTTAATGGTTATGTGGCTGGTCAATTCAGAAGAAAGGTTTAGTCATTAATGCAATATCTGCCCAAGCTCTGCCCGTTATTCTGTACATATGTATGTATGTATTTATAGAAGATAATTTTAACATTTAGTTTATGTATTAAATTAATTTTTGTAATCAATTAAAAATGTATTCTATATTCTTTTTCTATTTTATGCGAGTGGGCATTCTTTCATGTTTTTTATTTAAATTTTAATAAAATTTAATATTGCTTAAAATATATCTTAAAAAAGGGTTTTATTTTTTGTTTGAGTGGGTGCAAGGTATTTAAGAGTTAAAACCTGCTCGAATCTAGCATTCCTTTCTTTTTTATATATGTATGTACATATGTATGTATAGATACATATACATGCATGTATGGAATATGTGCATGTATTTACATATATAGATATGTGTGTGCGTACATACATATGTATAATACTGTATAATAAAATACATTTAGTTCAGTATAAGAAAGAGATTGGAACAAGTATTAGAGCTGTAGCGCAGTCGCAAGCTTTCCATATTCCAGCAACGGTAAATGTTCTCCGACTGCAAAGGGACTTATCGGAAATTAAATGGGTTTTATTTAATTCGTTCAGGACGTCCGATCTGATATTCATCTCGTTTTAATATTATACTTTAGGTTGCTGTTTTTTTTATTTTTTATTATTTGTTTGTTGGTGAAAAAACTGACCGATTTTTTAAAATTTCATTAGTTGCTACAAACACAGCCTAACTATTTGATCATCTAAGCTTCAACTTTAAACAAACAACGAAAACCAGTTAATGGAGAACTTAAAAAAACTGGTTTTTAGGTCAAAAAAGGGCCAATCAAACAAGCAGGTAAACTAAAGATGAACTCAAACTCCTCAATGAAGCCAAGTTTGGTGAGAAAGAAGATGGTGTGTCGCTCTAGAAAGGGTTAGGGAGAGACCCGCACATATACAAGGGCACACAAGTTTATGTAAACGTACACATACATACATATGTAAGTATTTGTTTGTGCGTACATACATATACATATCTATAGTTAGACCGAACAGGTTATTTCATGCTAGGACGTGGACCCATGCTAGTGTATTAAAACAGCCATAACATTGACTCGTATAAGAGCTGCAACGTTATCGTCATGCGCGCAGTCTCTCTTTTGGTCGGTTGGTCGCTCTTTGGTAGTAGTGGTTGCTGTTGCAGCCACAATGGCTGCAAACTACGCGGGCCAGTCAGCGGCATTCCTGACGTTAAGCATAACGCAGATTTAGTTCTCAATTGTTATGCTGATACAGTGTACGTGTACGCGGAAAATTTGACGCTACGTTAGGGTTTGTCAAGCTTTGTATTTGGTGTTTGCCTGTGTTTATATGTATGTATGTATGTATATGCAAGCGTGTCAATGTGGTTGTTGAAAAAAGTGCATATATGTATGTGTATATATGAACACTTTAAAGTGCTGTGAAAAAGTGCCTACAACAAATATGGTATTTTTGTTAGCAACCCAACAAAGCGGGACGAATCCACATCCAATGAGCAACGTATTAAAGTAGTACCACCAAAAAGTGGGAGTATGTGTGACAAAATTATGTACATATATTTGTACATACTTAGAATCATATACTTGCATACACATGTATGTACATATGTATGTATTTATATTCATAAATGCATACATATGTATATGTGTGTATGTAATTAGTTAAAAGGAATATTATTGTACTTATGTACATACATATGTGTGTATGTATTTGAATTAAAATATCGATAATAAAATACCATAGTCACAAATTTATGTTCAAAGGACCACACCCGACGCATGCACAAAAAAATAACAGAACAAAAAAACTACCATTTGCTGTAAGGAAATTTCCCGATATGGACTTGCCAAAGGATCACAAATAACGAAGAGAGATACAAAATTGTTTGGAGCTCTCAGTCGCTTGCAGGGAGTGCAGATGTCCATACATACATAGTTGCCATGCGGGATACTAATACAAATTGCGCAAGTAAATACATCCCTCTATTTTTTGCGGTTACTTGCGGTTGTGTTACAATTCTCTCAGTTACGCATCAGCTGTTTGCGGCCCACGTCGGAAAATAGTTAATTTTCACGGACAGCTAGTCTGATGTGTACTCAAAGTAGGGAAAATACAAAAGTTTGCATATGTATGTATGTATGTATATATGTATATTGATCGATTATACTACATTTTCATAATGTCTGTGTATGTACACACATATGTACATATATGCACATGTATACAAAAGTTAAGCTAAATAAAAAAAAAATGTTGGACAAAATGTCGTTATTTCAACTACAGAGTACACAACAATAAAAAATCGGCAATACTGTAAATGTACCCAGTATTTTACGCATTTTCTTCTCATTCAGACATTTTTGAAACTGGAAAACACGCTCTGCTCTGTGCAGATTACATTTTCCAGTTGCGGACGCTGCACACATCCGTTCAAGCTCTTTTCAACTCCTTTTAAAATAATGATTTAAAAATGGCAATGTCATGGTAGCGACGCACAGCTGAAATTTTTGTTATACATATACATATTTACATTCTTATATACATATGGATGTACTCGTATATTACAAATATTAAATATTTTAAGTTCAATGTTTATGAGAAATTAATAATAAGACCTAAATATGTACATACATATGTGTATATAATACATACATACCTACGTGACCTAAAAAATACTTTAAATTTGGGGCGTCAAAGCTAATATACCCTTGTAAATATAATTTGGCCTTTTAAAATAACATCAAAAACATTACTCATAGCAACTATATGACAAAGTTCTCGTACGATTTTTGTTAGCTTAGGTTTTACAACACAATAACAGATACTAACAAACTAATCAAACTCTAATTAGAATACAATATATTATTAGTAACAAAGAAATTGTGGTATAGGAATTGGGCATGTCTTGCCCTTTAAGAGTAAATTTGGGTTTTGCAAATGTGTACATGTGCATACATATGTATGTAATAACACATGTCTTATATACATACATACATACTATTCTACATACATTCATTCTTGTGCCGTGACTAAACTTGTATGTTAGCCCCCTAATCAATTTTGTTGATCAAAATTGGTTAGGATAGCTTGATGAGCAAAGCAACTATTGAACAAATAAAAAACAGTTCAGTTCCTAAGGCATCTGTATGATATTGTAGTCATAAATATCGGACCAAACGCATTATGCATTGGCAAGGAAATTAAAAAAAGGACAAAAGTAAAGGAATTTTAAATACATTCTATATTAACTGTGTATACATTATTTAATTTGTGTATCTCATACTGACAAAGTATATAAATCTTCATTGAGCAGTCAAAACGGCATGTTGGCCAGTGTACACGCGTGTGACAAATAAATACATTGATTAAATGATTATTCTGTAAAATAAATCAACGGAACGTTTTATCAGTTTTGTTAAAAAGTTAAAATTGATCTGCAACAATTGCGCATTCAAGAAACAATAATACTATTTCCGCATTCCCGGTGAGTAAAATGTTTAATATTTACTTAATACCAACTTACAACATATGTGATACTTGTACATACTATGTACATACATATGTATGCATATGTATATGCATACTCTTTGATAAGTACTTCTTATACCCTGTACCGAAACACACGTAAGAAGTGGTGGTGGACCCCATAAAACTCTAAGAAAGGACTTGTAGTTCAGTATAAGCGCGAAGTTCAATTTAAAATTCACAAGCCCAGGAAAAGCTGTTATGAAACCTAGATAATAGACTATAAAAGTTACAGTCACCAAATATACACACAGATACCTTATGCATACATATGTATGTATGCGTACGTTGTGCATATGTGGTGTCCCTACGTGTTGTAGATGTTCAAACGGACGGACAGACAAGAATATATGAATGTATGTATGTATATACTTTGTGGGTAACACACAGAATGTGGGTTGGCAGACGCCACAAAGTATATATATTCTTGATCACGTTGACGGGTCGATATAGCCATATCCATCTGTCTGTCTGTACGTCTGTCCGTCTCTATGAACGCAAGGATCTCAGAAAGTATAAAAGCTAGAATAACCAAACTTGGTATCCAGATTTCCCTAAGTCAAAGGAAGGACAAGTTTGTGTGTTTTTTCTCATACACCCTCCACAATGTTACAGCCATGCCTAAGCTCTGACCGCAGCTGTTGTTGTTGTTGTTGCTGCTTTAATTTAATTCTGTACTGCACACATACGTGGTCTGTTCAAAAGAAAAGGCGAATTTTGAATTTTACGGAAAATTATTTATTCATCAATATCCATTTTGTCCCCTTCAATCCACCTCAGATATAATGCACTTATGCCAGCACTTCTTCCAATCACCGAAGCACTTCTGAAATGCGCTTTTCGGTATGGCCATCCGCTCGTTCTTCGATTCTGACTTTATCTCATCAATTGTGGCAAAACGCTTTCCTTTCATTGGCCTCTTCAGTTTTGTTTTTGCCCAAAAATGAGCAATTTCGGAACAAACTTCGCTGCCACACGTTTCATGCCTAAAACATTCGACAAAATTGCATGGCAAGAGCTGATTGATTTGCTAACATCCTCTGCAACTTCGCTAATAGTGATTCGACAATTTAACAAAAATTCAAATTATTGTTAAATTTTATGCATATGATCAATTAAAAAAACTTCCACAAATACAAGACGAATTATTTCGCCATAATATTGAATGTGTGGTCGACTTCATATTGCGAAAATTGTTTATAAAACTATTTTTTAACGCAAAGCCCAAATGGAAATGAATGAAACAAATGGCTTGAAAACTGTAGATCTTTTATACAAACTTGTTTATAATTTGTGTGTAGATATATACATATGTATGTATGTACATTTAATTCTTTCATTCAGGCGCTATCTAGCTACTTACATATGTACATTGGTATGTAGGTATGTATGTATGTACTTAATTTTGTAATTCAAAACTAATATGTATGTGTTTAAGAATATTGTGAATGGCAAGTTTCTGCTGTTTAGCTGAGGAAACCGTTTAACACTAAAACGGTGAAACACCCGTAAATATTGGAGCAGCTGCATAAAAGCTAGACATGGGCATGTGTCAGCTTTTGTCGGCCAGTCATAGCATGATCACGTAAAGTTAAGGGGTAAAAAGGGTATATAAGGTTTGTGCAAAGTATGTAACATGCAGAAGGAAGCATCTCCGACCCCATTAAGGATATATATTGTTGATCAGCATAACAAGAGAAATCGATCTAGACATGTCCGTCGGACTGTCTGTCCGTCAGTCTGTGTTTATGAACGCAAGGATCTCAGAAAGTATAAGAGCTAGAATAACCAAGCTTGGTATTCAGATTCTCCTGAGCCCGAGAAAGGACGAGTTTGCTCATTTTTTCTGATCAACTGATTACCGTTTGGGGTGTGCGTTGATTGCCAATCAGTCAGTATCAGTACAAACGGTTTTATATATATAGATATATTTATATATATAGATATATTTATATATATAGATATATTTATATATATAGATATATTTATATATATAGATATATATATGTTCAAGAATATATTAGGTTCGCGGGAGGTGAAAAAAGTAACAGGCAGAGGGAGGTTTGGCAGACCCCACAAAGTATATACAACGTGTGTTCCAAAGTAAACAGGACTTTAAAAAAAAAAAACAAAACAAATGGTTTTTTGGGCAAAATCAATTTATTTTATTCAAAATAGTCTCCTTCTGCTTTAATACAGCTTTTTGCACGATCCAAAAGCATGTCGAACGAGTGTTTTAGCTCGTTGGCCGGTATGGCCGCCAGTATGCCGGTGCAAGCCTTTTGATGGCCTCTACGTCTGTATAACGCTTTCCTTTCATGGGCAAATGCATTTTTCCGAAAAGGTACCATATCAGGTAAATACGGCGAGTGGTTAATGGTTAAAATGTGATTTTTGGTCAAATAATCGGTCACAAGCGTCGATCGATGAGAGCAATTTTTGGTCGTCAGTAAATTATCGATGAAATGTCATAAAATTCTCACAGGACAATCGATAAAGATAACAGATTCTAACGCACTAGTCGACATATAGATAGCGCCACCAGGGAGCGCTAGATTCAAAAAGTCCTGTTTACTTTGGAATGCACCTTGTACATATATTCTTGATCAGCATGACAAGACGAGTCGATCTAGCCCTGTCTGCTTGTCAGTCCGTATGATCACATCAAGCCGAAGACGCCTTGCTTGTGCTGCGAGCAAGCTGATGGTCGATGTTCTTTACTACTTGAATCACTGAATTTTTATTTTTGACTGGTATTGAAAGACGAATTTGATCCGTATTTATTTTCGTTCGTCACAATTTTTTTAAACATCGATGTCTTATTCCCTATGGTCTTCGCTACTTGCCTATCACTAAATTTATATTTTTGTATGTTATACTCTCTTTGATTTTTATTATATTCTTTGAATTTGTGAAAATATTGTTTGTTTTAAAACCTTTTGTATTTAATAGAAACCATTACCTTTTATGACAAATTAAAATGAGTGCCCTATGTATAGACATCAATAAAATCTTGTTGAAAATTCGTTAGTAGAGGTTCAACGCATTGATAAAGCACTATGAACTCTTTCGAGCGAATTCATATGTTTTAATATGTCTTCAGCTTCGGCTTCAGCTTCATCTCATCGCTTACTATGTTTGTAGCCTTATATGAATACGCAGAAAATGTATATTTCAGAATTTTCCTCCCTCTCTCCCGAAATTAGTGATTTTCCATATCTCCGAAATTCCTTCTGCCTGTTACAAATAGAATATAGAATTTTCATTTCTCCCATATTGGCTGCCCAACGGGAGCTGCGTGTGTATATTGTATACATCTTTGAACATTTAGTTACGGAGAGAAGGGGTTTTAACGAAGTTATCTTATTTATAATACCCTGTACCCGTAGGGTAAAAAGGGTATATGAGCATTTCCACAGAAAAGTCTACCAATACCGAAAAATTAAAAGTTAATTAAAAGTTGTTCTTTACTTGTTATATTAAGATTTCTGTCAGTTTTGAATATTTTAAAAGCATTTTATCTTTACCACTTACGATTCTAACAGTTATTGTGCAACTACGCTCTTATTGCAAAATGCTTGCTACAACAACAACAAACCTTCAAATAAATGTAGAAGAGCAAACCTCAAATTTTTGATTTGCTTTTACCCGTCTTCTAATGTAACGTCACGCTGTTGATCGCAAGTGCGTGAAATTAAACAAAGTTTGATAATGTTTATTAATTGTAATATCAGTAAGCTAACAAATAGTTTTTATTTTTAAAAGTGTGTCACGTAAGATTGTAAATAATTTCATTGCATGGCATTTTGTTTATTTACTTTATATTGCGGCTTATGCTGGTGAAATAAATGTAAAACAAGAAAGGAATGCTAAAGTCGAGCAAGCTCAACTCTTAATAAAAGTAAAACAAGAAAGGAATGCTAAAGTCGAGCAAGCTCAACTCTTAAATACTCTGTACCTCCCACCAAAAAGGAAAAACAACAATGAGTTAATTTTAAACAAGAAAGGAATGCTAAAGTCGAGCAAGCTAAACTCTAAAATTGCCTGTACCACCCCACAAAAAAAAGTTTATTAAAAAAATTTAATTAATTAATTAAATTAAATAGTAAATATTCCATACATACATTTACATAAAAATCGTGTCTATGGTTGTTTGTGTACTTGTACATATGTATGTGTGCATTACACAATTATATCAAAGCAGCAACAAATATAGCTACGGACACAGCTTGGGCCTGGTTATATGGCTATAACTTTCTTTCAAATCAACCTATCATAATGAAAATGGTACACGAATATATAATCACTAACTGGATGTGACTACCAAATTTTAGTTCAAAATTCCAAGAATTACGGGAGTTATAGAAAATCCCGAATAGGGGGGGAATGGGGGGGGGGGGTGGATCGGAAGAAATGAGCAAACCCGTCCTTTCTCGGGCTCAAGAGAATCTGGATACCAAGTTTGGTTATTCTAGCTCTTATACTTTCTGAGATCTTTGCGTTCATACAGACAGACAGACGGACATGGCTATATGGACTCGGCTTGTCATGCTGATAAAGAATATATATACTTTGTGGGGTGTGCCACGCCTCCTCCTGTGTGTTCCATGTACACTCGCACAAAACTAGCATACACTTGTACCCTTTGGGTACAGGGTATAACAAGAGAGAACGCTACAGTCGAGCAAGCCCGATAGTGAAATACCTTGTACCCAGACAAACTTCCGTCAAAATTCTGTAGCGGGGGAAGGGGGGAAAATTCAAAAAAATAAAATAAACTCGTCCTTTCTCGGACCTAGGAGAATATACCAACTTAACCACACATGATTTGTACAAATGAAATGTACAAGAGTATATTAGGTTTGCGGGAGGTGAAAAAATACATTCTATAAATATTGTACACATAAAGTCGGGGCACCCGACTTTAGTTTTTCCACCTATTTTCTTTTGGGTACATTTTTCCCCTTCCAAAATTTGTTAACCAATTGCTTTGTAACTTAATATGTGCTATTGCTAATTGGAACATTTCGATATCTATATTAACAGATGATGCAGAAAGTAAAAAAGATACGTTAAGCGGAATTGACTATGGGACCACAGGCATGGGCGTGTGCGCAGACCCTGGGTCTTTTCAATGGTGTCAGGCATTAAGCCGGTCGCATTCGTCGTACGCCACAAACCAAAAGCAGCAACGACAGGAACAAATCGCGAGAAGTACTGCAACAGCAAGAATAACCACGATTCAAGTCAATAATTTGACAACGGCTCCTACAAAAACGGCGGCCTTCACATTTAAAACTACAAGAAGAAGAAATAAGGTCGTCCAATTGAATGCACCTTCTGGGATAAGCAAGGCTATCTATAACGCCAGCTACAGATTCATCCTGGTGCTCAAATTTTTGTTCATATGGCTAATTGCAGTTTTGATTAAAAATGCGGAAGCGCATAACATTCCAGGTAACTAATAAATTAAAACATAATTTCTGTTGGGCATTTTAGTTCAATTATTCTTATAAAACTCAGACCTGGATCTTATAATGCAGAATTGCAAAAAATTTAATTGCGTTTACTACGACCAAATGAATAAACAAGATAGAACGCTACAGTCGAGCAAGCCCGACAGTAAAATAGCCTGTACTCTCCACAAAAAAGAAAATTTTAAAAAAATATTAAAAAAATTAAATTATTTAAAAAAAATTAAATTAATTTATTAAATTTTTATGGCTTCGATTACGTCCTAGATTGAGTACCCACCGTCGTCTACCTTTCGTCGGCTGTACAAAGGATGTCCATTGCCAATGTTGGTGTTTCATGGATCAGATGTGGATGTCCTTTCGCGCATTTCCCGAATCCTCGACTTCCGTTCTTGTTTCTATGTTTCTACGGCTCTTGACTCTAGGCCCTTTTTATAGCCTGTACCCAAAGGGTAAAAGGCTATGTTAGTTTTGTGCGAATGCATGTAGCAGGCGGAAGGAGGCATGGAAGACCCCACAAAGTACACATATTATTGATCAGGATGACAAGTCGAGTCGATCTAGCCATGTCCGTCTGTATAATGCAAGGATCTCAGCAAGTACAAGAGCAGGAATAACCAAACTTGGTATCCAGATTCTTCAAAATCCAAGAAAGGATGAGCTTGTATTTTTTTGTGATATACCCCCACTCTCCTGCAGTTAGTGTTTTTTCCATAGCTCCTGTAATTTTTGGAATTTTGTACTCAGATTTTGGAAATACCTCCAGTTAGTGATTATGAGTCCGTTTCATTAAGATATGTTAATTATGCCGTCAGCTGTTGTTGCTGCTTTGACATAATTGTGTACTGCATACATACATGCATATAAATACACATAGTCACGATGATGTAAATGTATGCTGTTGAAACTGTACATAAACATGTCTACTATGTATGTATTAAATATATTTAATTTAATTAAATTGTATAGCCTGTACCCAAAGGGTGAAAGGCTATGTCGATATAGCCATGTCCGACTGTTCGTCCAGCCGTCTGTCTGTATGAACGCAAGGATCTCAGAAAGTATAAGAGCTAGAACAACCAAACTTGGTATTCAGATTCGTCTAAGACCGAGATGCACCCCCAACTCCCCCGCAATTTGCGCATTTTCCATAACTGCCGTAACTCTTGGAATTTCGAACTCAAATTTGGTAACTACATCCCGTTAGTGATTATGAGTCCGTATGTCAAGTTTCATCATGATCAATTATGAAGAAAGTTATAGCCATACATACATATATTCTCTGCAGAAGCTCTGCCGCAGCTGTTGTTGTTGCTGCTTGTAATGCACACATACATTTGTACAACTACACAAACACATATAGGCATAAACACTTATGTTTGTATGCATGTGTCGAATATTTTATATTTAATTAAATTAATTGATTAAATTTTTTTATATCAGATGTATATGCTAGTAAAGGGTATACATTCAAGATAGAAAAGGAAAACATCTTTGCCCGCTCCTTTGTCAAAAAGTCCTGCTCATTTTGTTGGTGAAGTGAAGTGATAGATTGTTGTACATTTATAGTATTATATTTTTCTGTTTATTTCTTTTGCAGAGGATGCTGTGCATATCACCGCTATATTGGGTGAAGGCGTTATCTTCAATTGTCACGTCGAGTTTCCCAATGATCATCCAGTGCCATATGTCCTCCAGTGGGACAAGAAGGTGAGCGAAACGGTACGACATCACAATTGTTATTTCTTCTCTAAACTCTCTTTTTATATTGTTGTTAAATACGCGAGAAAGCAAGAAAGTAAGAAACAGTTAATGTCAAAATAAAGCAACAGAAGTGACACATAAAAAGAATGTACATTTATGTATGAACAAAATATTCACAATTAAATAAGCTCTTTTATTTATAAATCTTTTTAAAAATCGTGCTTATGTATGCCCTAATCAAAATTCAGTTATTAATGTTATTTTGGTAGCAAAATGCCAGATGCAATTATGGTATCATTCTAGTATGCGTTATAACCATATTTAGAAATGTGCCATTACAATTAATGTTTGTTTTGATATAATAATGTTCCCTTCATAAATAAGTACATTATTCAAAACAATTGAGCTTCGGCGTGCCGAATATTATATACCCTTGCAAATAGGTTGCATAATTTTACAGTATCCATTTCATACAGCAACTATAAAATTTTGGCAAAAATAATAATATCGCCGATTGAAGGAACGCTTTGTCGATTAAAGCATTATGTAAAAAAACAATATCAAAGATTATTCGTTCAGGTTCAAATATAGTTCAAATTTTCCCATTTCAATGTAACACGCAGGATTGATAATTGCTCACATTTGCTCAAAATTGCATGATGAATTTATTTATACATTCGTGTAGTCATGAACAATGAATCGTTGTTAATTACAATAGTGAGAGGCTAATATCCACCTTCAATCCCAGATTTTAGGCTGATTTTCGACTCGCAGCTTGATAATCTTAGTCTTAAATCAACTTAATAGAAATAACAGCGGATGTTAGAGTCAACCTAGCACTGAACGAAAAAAAATGCATAGACTATATTTGTTGTTTAATGAATTAGTTTGCCAAATTAGTTTGTTTTCTTTGGGATTGTGCTCTCGAAATATGTAGTTGGGAAAGGATTAATAGAAAATAATGTAAGCTTGAGACTAAAAGCCGATTCTACTCAACCAATTTCGTCAATGTGGGTTCAGCTGTTTCCGAAATCCAAGCGTAATCCAGACAAATGGAATATGTCTCGTAGTGAATTAAAATATGAAAAATATGAAACAGTTTTTCTGAGGCGGGAAAAGGGTTTAAAAAAGTGTGGTGCACGCGACTCTAGCATTCGACAGTTCTAAGTATTACATTATAGCAACAAAATTGTGTGTTTTTAAGTTTAATATATTGTTGTTCTACATTTCGAAGTCTCATTTATATCGACGCAGGTAGCAAAAATACATATGTAGCTGGCATATGATAGATTTATGCAATAAGCATTATTTTAGTTGAAGAAGGAGTGAGGATGGGTATAGGGTACAAGAATCAGGCTCATGCGATTTAAACGCTCGTTTTTCATTACTGTCCATTTTTATATAGATAGATTTACTATAAAAATGTAGTCAAAGGTAATGGAGCTAATCGTGTTTCCATATAGGTGCTTAAAGAAGAAATAGTATGTTTTCTAACAAACAGTACATGTATAACTGCAATTTATATATATTTAACAAGCTTGAAATAAAATCGAAGAGAGCGAAAGAGAAGAAAAATGCACAAACAAATTATTTCTTAATATTTTTAGAACTAAATCACAAATTTCAAAATAGATATGCATACTCGTACATACGAACATTTATGAGAAGCACCCTGCAAGTTCATTATAGTGAAATCCGAATTATATCTATTTAAGGACCCTAAACACATACAGATGATTCAATTGTACATTTTACACATTTTGCACAAAAAATTTTTTACCACAAACAAACAATAATTTGCATGTTTCTTTTTAGAGGATACCATTATTTTGTTCCTTTTAAATACCAGGGTTCGCAATATGCCAATTTTTGTGCTCCTGCTCGTGAGCTGCTTCGATCCGATTCGGGAAGACCATGTACATACTACTTGTACATATAGTATGTACAAGTATATGTGTGATATGAATACATAGATACATATATGCACATTGATTTGGTTGTGTGAGTGTATTCTGTGAGTGTGTGTGCGTTTTTGATGTGTACACTTCTGCTTACATTTTTATACTCTGTACATGAAATGTACAAGAGTATATTAGGTTTGCGGGAGCTGAAAAATGTAACAGGCAGAAGGAGGCGTGGCAGACCCCACAAAGTATATATATTCTTGATCAGCATGACGAGACGAGTCGATCTAGCCCTGTCTGTCTGTCTGTCCGTCTGTCCGTCCGTATGAACACCTGGATCTCAGAGACTATAAGAGATAGAGACACCAAATTTTGCACAAAGATGCGTTATGTGTGTATTCTATACGAGTTTGTTTTATTTTTTTGATTTTCCCCCCCACTTCCCCCCTATGGGGGTTTTCCCGATTTTCCATTCGTATAATCGCCTATATCTCGGAGACTATAAGACCTAGGAACAGATGCCTTATGTGAATACGCAGAAAATGTATATTTTGGAATTCCCCTCCCTCCCCCCTCTACCCCGCAAATCGTAACTCCCGTAATTCTTGGAATTTCGAACTAAAATTTTGGAAATACCCCCAGTTGGTTATTATGTGTCCGTATGCCAAATTTCATTATGATAGACCGATTTAACAAGAAGTTATAGCCATAAATATATTTGCTGATGCAGCGCTGCTGCAGCGCTGCTCAAGCGCTGCCCGCGGCTGTTGTTGATGTTGCTGTTTGGTTGACTGCGAAAATGCTTACACAGACACGAATAGATGCGCATAGGCATACATACACTCACACAGACGCAATTGCTATGTAAATGTGCAATTATACACCCTTTACGTGAGTTCGAATACCGAGAGAGGTAAAATCGATCAAATTTTTTTTTTATTTTCTTAATTTTTTTATTTTCTATAATTATTGTAAACATATGTACAGAGTATTTCAAAGTCGGGACACCCGACTTTAGCTTTTTTACTTGTTTAATTTGTAAACTGCCGAATATGCAATGGAGCTACATTCCTTACCTCCTTAAAACTACTTACTTTTTACGGTTTACAATATGTTTGTAATCAATTAGTACAGTATTGTAAAGCCATTTATTTTTTGTCCAATCTTATCGCTATAATGCGTAGTAGCATTTCTCTGCAAAATGCATACGAAAATCTTCATTACACTTAAGTACATATAGTATTGCGGCTAATGCTTAGTCGCCCTCCGGTTCGCAGCACGGATCACCTCACTTCAAAATTTGGTCGCAACTTGAAGCAGCTCGTGGACAGGAGTATAACAATGAGCAAATTGAGCCCTTAATTGAACAATGATAATAGGAGTAGATTCCTTAAGTCGTGGAGGCTCAACTTTCAAAGATCAAGAACATTAAAATAAACAAGTAAAAAAGCTAAAGTCGGGTGTCCCGACTTTGAAATACTCTGTACATATGTTTACAATAATTATAAAAAATAAAAAAAATAAGAAAATAAAAAAAAAAAATGTGATCGATTTTACCTCTCTCGGTATTCGAACTCACGTAAAGGGTGTATAATTGAACATTTACATAGCAATTGCGTCTGTGTGAGTGTATGTATGCCTATGCGCATCAATTCGTGTCTGTGTAAGCATTTTCGCAGTCAACCAAACAGCAACATCAACAACAGCCGCGGGCAGCGCTTGAGCAGCGCTGCAGCAGCAAATATATTTATGGCTATAACTTCTTGGTAAATCGGTCTATAATAGTGAAACTTGGCATGCGGACACATAATAACTAACTGGGGGTATTTGCAAAATTTTAGTTCGAAATTCCAAGAATTACGGTAGTTAGAGAAAATCGCATTTGCGGGGGAGAGGGGGAAGGGAGGGAAATTCCAAAATATACATTTTCTGCGTATTCACACAAGGCATCTTGGACTAAAATTTGGTGTGCCTAGGTCTTATAGTCTCCGAGATATAGGTGATTATACGAATGGAAAATCGGGAAAACCCCCATTGGGGGGAAGTGGGGGGGAAAATCAAAAAAATAAAACAAACTCGTATAGAATACACACATAACGCATCTTTGTGGAAAATTTGGTGTCTCTATCTCTTATAGTCTCTGAGATCCAGGTGTTCATACGGACGGACAGACGGACAGACAGACAGACAGGGCTAGATCGACTCGTCTTGTCACGCTGATCAATAACATATATACTTTGTGGGGTCTGCCATGCCTCCTTCTGCCTGTTACATTTTTCAGCTCCCGCAAACCTAATATACTCTTGTACATTTCATGTACAGAGTATAAATAGTCAACACGACTTTTCTTAATTTTTGGACGCTAATAATTCAAAACAATTTTTTTGCCAGGTCAAGAATAGATTTTGAAATATTTAACTATATATTATGTAGTGCTGCTGATGCAGGAATTCGTGGGTTAAAGTACTGGAAAAAAGACAAAAAAAATTTGGAATTGCTAAGGAAAAAGACATATAGTCAATATCCCTGACGGCTTTTGAAAAAAGTATACGAGTTTTTTCCACTTCTGGACAAATGCGTGCGTGTTTCCAAAAGTTAATTTCGTGGCCGTGTCGTTGCGGGCCGAATATCTCTAGTTTCTAGCTCTCATGTCTCCAATCAGACGGATAAACCGAAACGGTTATATAGACTCATCTCGTCATGCTGATCAAAAATGAATATACTTTGGGGGCTTATCACTTACCTAAAACGAGTATGAAATATATGTACGTGTAAAAATGCTTTGCAAAGGTATTCAAAATAATAAAAGGCGTTTTTCATTTTGCTGTTTAATTTGCCTTTTATAAATTAAGGTAATATGTTCTTTCTGAATTAATCAAAGCAACTGAAATAGTTTTGTGTAGACTACATATATCATTACTTACTTAGTTAAATAAATGCATGTCTACATACATATATTAAAAAACAATTATTATTATTATTTTTTTGATGTTTCGAATAACGCCGTAATGAGAATATTAATCTAATTTACATTCCTTTGCCTACTCTGTAAAGCCGACATTTTGTTGTATTTAAAAAGAATTTCATTTAATTGCATGCATTTACTTTTATAAATTAGCAGAGTGGGTGGCAAAAAAGAACAGAAATTGTCGATGATACTCCATTTTCTGATGATAATAACGACAAAGATGATGTGGAAGGCATCAAGATAAGAACTAAAACTGTTGTATCCCGCTTAAATATATATATTTTGAAAAGTAAAAATAACTAATTTCTTTTGCTATTGAAAGAACCTAATGATTTAATTAATACTATATGTACACATATGTATAAATGTATATACATACATATGTGAACAATTGAAATTATTGCATGTGCAGTAGTGATCAAGTATACAGTATCGAGTTAAATTCAAACTCCTCTTTAATAAAATGCAATTAGGGCTATCATATTTATTATTTTGAATTTTTTCCAACCATTATTGAACATATTAGAAAAATGAGGGAGTGGGTGTGGTTATGGTTTACATTTTGATTTTGCTTTGCTGAATCGATGCCATTTCGACATTTTAAAATGTTCTAATTTAAACTTATTTGAAGTAGGTTGTCCTATTTTATTTCCTCACACATTAGTATATATGTAAATAAAAAAGTATCCTTAAACAAATGCATATGTCATGGCACATCGCAAATTAAGTATACTGCAAATATGTACATCATCCAATATCTGATTTCGTTTCTGATTAATCTATTCTGGACTTTTTATCTTATGGTTAAATAAAAAGGGCTCTGATCTACCAATATACATCTGGTATGAAAGCTATCCAGAGCACATCGAGGAGGGCTATAAAGGGCGTGTATCACGGGTATCACAGGACTCACCATTTGGTTCCGCGTCACTTAACTTGACTAACATCAGGGAGTCGGATCAGGGTTGGTATGAATGCAAAGTAGTATTTCTCAACCGCGATCCCAAACAACATAAGAACGGTACGTGGTTCCACTTAGATGTACATGCGCCGCCACGTTTTAGTGTAACGCCAGAGGATATAATATATGTTAATTTAGGTGAGTATTTTAAAAAAAATTGTAAATATATACTCATAAGTAGTATTTGCGCTGAAAAAATAAATAAATAAATATAAGAATTCAAATAAAACAGTATAGCCTTGCTGACTGACTGATTGCTGATCAATGCACAGCCCAAACGGTGAGATCTAGGAAGCTGAAATTTGTGCTCAACTATCCTATTACTAGTATCCTATCATAGTGTACGTGTAGGGCACTAAAAAGCGGTTTTGGAAAATTCGAACGCCAAAGGGGGAAAACAGGTTATAAGGTTATTAAGGTTGTTCTGAAAAATCGTAAATTTTCAACCCATTGTCTTCAAATTAATAAAAGAATACAAAAAAAAAATGCATACTTGGTTTTCGAATCATTGATAGGATTTTCGCCTTTAAGAAAAAAGAAGGGGAAAAATACGATTTTCGTTTGGAGTTGACGAAATTGTTAAACTGGGCCCAGTGCTCAGTGAGGAAGATGATGGGACGCTAATGGAATTGCAGTTATTGAGAAGGGAAATAATAAAATGCATACTTATTCCACAATTCTATTATTTAATTGAATTATATAATGGCCAATAAATCCTTTGCGAAAACAGGGGCAGTTGCAGTGGGCTAATTAAAGTTCGAGCAAGCAATGCTCAAAGTCATGTTGTACCGAAGAAGTATAAAGATTCGACCCGATACAAAAGTCCAAGGAATGGCTGGCAATATAAAATTACCGACAACAATAGATAAAAGGCTTCTATGATGCAAGTAATATGGTGTAAATAAATAAGATATCAGCGGGTGGCAGGGGAAGTTTACGAACAAGTGATAAATACAGCACGAGAAGGGACAACAATTATGATTTAAATAATCTAATTCCGATAGGAGGGTGTATTTAACTGCCATCAATACACACAATAAACAAAAGCTCTACCACAAGTGATAGCGAAAAGCAACCACAAAACTTGCGTGGCCACGATGTACAAAGTAATGCACAAACAAAGAGAAAGGCAAAAAAGGCGCAACAACAATCACAGCATCCGAACTGCAACATTGATAAAGCGAACCACAACATTTTACTGGCTTTATAATTTGGCTTACAATTCCGTGAGATGTTTTTTGAGCAAAAGAAATTTATTTTGGGATCACATAAAACACATGTCAATCTCACATCACTTACTGTGATTAAATTTCTAATTAATATTATTATTATATTTTTCTCTGCTTTTATAGGTGACTCAATTATTTTAAACTGTCAAGCTGACGGCACGCCAACGCCAGAAATTCTTTGGTATAAGGATGCGAATCCGGTTGATCCCTCTCCTACTGTAGGCATCTTCAATGATGGCACCGAGCTACGGATCTCTACCATACGTCATGAGGATATTGGAGAATACACTTGCATTGCACGCAATGGTGAGGGACAAGTCTCTCATACGGCCCGTGTTATAATTGCGGGCGGCGCTGTAATCATGGTAAAAATATAAATACAAATAAATTAGTTAGTTTCGATACAAAATCAAATAGTTAACAATGTTCGAAATTACAATGTCAAAAATTCTCAACTAAAATATACAGCAGTTAAAACATGATTTTTAAATTGATTTTTTTTTTTAATTCAATATGAAATGTATTACAAAGTTACCAACACAAACTGAATTATCTAGATTAGCTCGTTCCGATATTCCTTATCCATTGCAAAATAATTAGTTTCTTTATTTGAATGCAAAAATATATTTCTGTAAATTTGAAGCGTTGTTTTTCCTTCGTCTTTTCAATATATCTATGTTAAATATCACAAAATATCAACATAATTTTGAATTCAAGCTTTAAATCAAATATGTAGTCCTACCAATTTGTATAATGGAATAAGAATAAGATATCAAAACAAGAAAAATGTTACGGTCGAGCAGGTGTGACATTTTGAAATACCTTTTACCCAACTTAGTTTGCGGTTGCCGGTTTGTTAGAGACGCGTTATACAAAAAACAGAATAAAAATTATATTATCTATCGCAGATGCCTTCTTTTGGGTGTTACATACGTTTACACCATACTAAAATATCGTTTTACCGTTGGGTACAGGGTATAAAATATAAATTAATAAAATAAAAACCTGGTAAGAAGCGTGCTTTTCCAAACTAAAAAATGTTGCGCCATTATTACAGGTGCCGCCCACGAATCAAACCAAGCTTGAGGGTGAAAAGGTCATATTTTCATGCGAGGCGAAGGCCATGCCAGGAAATGTGACTGTGCGCTGGTTTCGAGAAGGCTCACCGGTACGCGAGGTTGCTTCGCTTGAAACGCGCGTTACTATTCGCAAGGATGGCTCGCTCATTATAAACCCTGTCAGTGCTGACGACTCAGGCCAATATCTATGCGAAGTGACCAATGGTATAGGAGATCCACAGAGCGCATCCGCATATCTTAGCGTTGAATGTGAGCATATAGAATAGAACATTAAAATAACAAAAGCAATAACTTTATTTGTATGGATCTGCAGATCCTGCCAAAGTGACCTTTACACCAACTGTGCAGTATTTGCCCTTTCGTCTGGCTGGAGTCGTGCAATGCTACATAAAATCAAATCCACAACTGCAATACGTTACTTGGACGAAAGACAAGCGGCTCCTAGAACCCTATCAAATGAAAGATATTGTAGTTATGGCCAACGGTTCACTTTTATTTACTCGTGTTAATGAGGACCATCAGGGGCGCTACACGTGTACTCCATATAATGCGCAGGGAACACAGGGTTCTTCGGGAACAATGGAAGTACTGGTGCGAAAACCACCTACGTTCACTATAGAGCCAGATACGTTGTATCAACGAAAGGTCGGGGACAGTGTTGAAATGAACTGCGACGCAGTCGAGGCTGAGGGTACTGAACGACCCACTATCAAATGGCAGCGTCAAGAGGGCGAGCAAATGACCGACTCGCAACGTAACCGCGTGAAAATATCCGGTGGGAACATAACAATTGAGAATTTGAGGCGAGAAGACTTTGGATATTATCAGTGCGTGGTATCGAATGAGGTGGCCACACTTTTAGCCGTCACACAGCTGGTTATAGAGGGTACACAGCCACATGCACCCTACAATATCACGGGTAGGGCGACGGAGTCATCAATAACCTTGCAGTGGCTGCCTGGCTATAGCGGGGGTTCTGAATACAAGCAGGATTACACAATTTGGTATCGCGAAGCCGGTGTTAACGATTGGCAGACGATTTCAGTGACACCATCAGGAAGCACGCAGGTTACCATTAATGGATTGGCTTCAGGGACTACGTATGAGTTTCAGGTGGTTGGCCGAAATATACTAGGTGATGGCATGATGAGCAAAGTGATGACAGTACGTACTTTAGGTAAGTAAAAAGTTGTTGAAATTGGCTTTTTTTTACATTTTTTAATTAATATACTTTACAAGTAATTCAGATTTTGCACTTTTTTGGTATAACGTTATTTTATAATAAAGTTAACTCTTGCATAATACTGATTGGCTCTATAATATTGCTCATTTTTTCTCTCGTTTCTCTTCTCTTTTTCTTACGATTATCATTACATCAAACCATTTGAATCTATTATCTAAATTTCTAAAACATTTCATGCGGCTAATTGCCAAAATCGCTCTTACTTCTGCGCATTCTCGCATTCAAATGCATTGAATTTCGAATTTTTCCTTGGTGACACCAACAACGTAAAAATTGAAATTCAAAAGAAGACGCTCCGGCAGCGCCACGTAATGTCAAGGCTGCAACACAACCGCCCGATCACTTCTTTCAGCTAATGCCAGATGAAGCTGGTAAGAACAACAAACAATCTTTGTTTTAAAGTTGGAAAACCATCGACTTATATGCGAAAATTAATAAAACCAATCAGATAGATAGGTGGAAGACAGATACTATACATTAGTAATTGAATTAAAACACAATTTCCCAAACGATAAGTTATGAAAGTCAATGCAGATGCTGAGAAAATGATGACCAATTTATTTCTTTCCCATAGTTTTAGGACACCCATTTACATTTGTTTACTTCTTCAGGAAAAGCTTTTAGGTATGCAGCAAGAAGTTGAGCTCTATTTAAAACATTAAAGATCATTCGTGAACTTTATTGTTGTTATCAAGGTTGCATTTCGCAGTTGTTCTGAAGACGTCAACCAAGTACATACTTTTTAATACCAAATGAAATTTTAACAACCTTTTTTGTTTGTCCAGTCAGGTGCGTCTGTACAGTGGTAATATCATATCTCTAACACTGGAGCCTCCTAACCGCTCTTTATTAGTGTGTAGTTCGTTGTGTTTTCTTCAATCCGATTTCGTATTTTATGCCATTTGTGATCAGTTCCAAACTCTTTTATTCTAGAATATAAATAGTACTACTTGCATTCTATTATGCCCCGTTGTAGTAAATGGGGAGATGGGGATTATGGTAATCGAAGCCGCTAAAACCTTATATTTACTATATACATATATGGCTAAAAACTGTAATGCACAGTTTTCCCTATTAAAATTATCTTTTTGCTCCTCATCGAGTGTGCATATATATTTCTAAAAGTATGCTGGGGCTGTCACTGTAAATAAATATGTACATACAAGTATGTGCATAGCATGTACATTGGCTCAGTATGTATTTACTGTATATAGTACTTGCGTACATAAAGGACTATGCTAAATTCAAATATTTTTATTAGAGACATGTGCATGTGTGTATGTATGGATGGATGTTCATCGAAAAGCCTATTATGTGTAAGCTCCAGCTCAAGCAATTATGCCTTTACACATACATACATACATACGTACATACATACATACATACATACATATATACATACATACTTACATAAATATATTACTGGTGCGTTAGCGCAACAACTGGTAGACAATATGTTGTGTAATGCAACCCTGGATTTCGTGTACGTGTTTCTTTAGCGTTCATATCATATGTACGGAAATACAAAATAAGAACTCACTACATCCAGATCTAGCCATCTGCAGACTCCTTAATAAATATTAAACCTCACAACTATAGCAACAACGAAACAGACAGGAAAAGCGGTTCAGCCAATGCAATAAGAACAAATATTAATTTTGGTTGCAGTTAAGTTTACTTCACTTTATTCATTATGATTTAAATCGTGGTTAATAAGCGCAGTATCGTGGTTCTGCTTACAATAAGTACATACAAAATGTACTTTTTTTTTGCTAGTTTGGTTTGAGTATTAGCGCGCGAAAATTCCACTGAATTCTCAACATTTTCGCGTTTGCAAAAAATACATCTTTTTTATTTTTATATATTTCTCGGCACAAGTCAATATAGCCATATCCGTTTGTCCGTCCCTACGTCCTCCTGTATAACCGTAAGGCTCACATGCTGTGCCATCATAATTAATTTTATCGATGTTTTAGTTAAATTCTATAATGCACAAAAAAGGATAGACATCAGTAGATGTACGTTAAGTATTAATATATTCATATTATTTGCTTTATTTTTCAAATTTAACTAATTTTAATTAACAATATTTAATCAAAATTAAAATTAAAGAGCCGTATCCCCCGGCCATGGGCTCTTAAGAAAGGAGTCTATCATTCCATTCTGTGTTTAAATTAAAGCTTAGAATTGTTTTTAATTTTATTATTGATCTTGTTTAATGGTTTTTTTGAACATAGTATATTGTTTTTGTATTTAGTATCTTATGCTCACTCGGTAATTGAATTGTGGCCTTTCCTTATAAAAACTATTTTAGCCAGCAAGCCAATATTCGAATTAAGTCCCATAAGCTTCATATCATTGAATGAATCGGTTCACGGTTCACCATTTACTTGCTTTATGCTTTTCCTCATTATGCGAAGTGCTTAACTGCTTTTGTTTTTCTAAATAACATTTTCCGTTCCGAATTACATTTTTATACCCTGTACCCGTAGGGTAAACAGGGTATATTAGGTTTGTGCAAAGTATGTAACATACAGAAGGAAGCATCTCCGACCCCATAAAGTATATATATTCTTGATCAGCATGACGAGAGAAATCGATCTAGACATGTCCGTCCGTCTGTCCGTCTGTCCGTCCGTCTGGATGAACGCGAGGATCTCAGAAACTATAAAAGCTAGAATAACCAAAGTTGGCATCCAGATTCTCCTAGGTCCGAGTAAGGACGAGTTTATTTTTTTTTTTTTAATTTTCCCCCCCTTCCCCCGCTACAGAATTTCGTCAATAGCGTCCACATTTCAAATGCTACCTAAACCAAACTTTGCACACATAATTTATATATAATTGTCTACTGTTGTTCAAAATTTTATTCAATTCGGTCAATTCTAAGAAAAGTTATTAGCGAAACAAATTCTCGCCAGTACAACCCCCACAAACTGCAGCAACAAGTTCGCTCTTCTTCTTCCTCTTTTTGTTGCTGCTATGGGCGCATATAACTCAGTGACGGAAGTTTACATGGGTACAGGGTATTACACTGTCGGGCTTGCTCGACTGTAGCGTTCTCTCTTGTTTATTTTGCGTCATATGTCTTAAGCAAATGCTTATTATTATACTTATTTTTATTAATTTATTACACAACGTTTTTTAAGTTACGTATCTATTTCGCTTTTTTGTATTCGCAGATTTTTTAACCTACTTTGACATATATTTTCATACCGATTCGAAGGGCATGATCATTTATTCGCCGCCCAAATTGAAGTTAAAAGGTATTTTCATTTTCTGCTTAAGTTAATAAAAGTTAAAAATATTTATTTAAAAATGCACTGGTATTTCAGCCTTGTGTAGATGCAAACTTAAATATTTTTTCCTTTTATTTTATGATTTAGCTTAACTTAACTATCGTTTTTGTTTTTTGGTCATGCAACGCTAATGAGTTTTTACTGTTGTGGCTAGAGCTGTGCGAAATTGTCCTTGTAGGAGAAAGAGGTTCATTTACGATTTAAGGCCTATTCACTCTTTGACATAAACCAAAAACAATACCATAAAGCATTAGCCATTTCGCGACGCTTTGCCCATTACCAATACAATTTAAGCACCTGCAATGTTTCTAGCGGATCCCTTGGATCTCTACTGCTGGTGAGCTACCGAATATAAATACTTTTGCACAAAATAACTAACTAGTTTAAAAAATACGACTTTTTTTTATCTTGATGGTTGTGCCACTGACATTTCCCAGCGGATCTTATTGCACCAAATGTTCGATTGTTCGAAGCAGTTTGCGTTAAGTCCATTAAGTCTAAATCTCAAATTGCTGATATGAATGCCAAGCCAAATACTTATTTTAATGAATGTTTGTGTGAAACTTTCCGTTTAGCAGGCATTTCCTTTCTAGTGGGAGGTTTGTTTTAATCATGTAAACCTATTTTTACTCTAAAACAATGTTTACATACTTTGTATGTTTTTACTATATGTGTATGTATTTATTAACATACTTACATACATGTGTGTATAGTCACAATCAATGGGCAATGTAAAATTAATATTATTAGCATTTTTTAAATGTATTTGTTGGTAAAAGCAGGCGAATTAAGCCCTTTAAAATAATTGGATACTGTTTTGAATTCTTTAGGAAAACTAAACTAACTATGTATTTAAGATTGATCTCTGTTATTGGGTCTAGTATACGAATGGCTTAGCAATCTAACTATTAGGAATTGAGAATATGTTAATTACAAAACTTTACAAAAAGTACAAAGTACTTTTAAAATATAGGTAACGTTTGGGCTTTCATAATATTAATATATATGTTATTTTTCCCAACAGGGCCAAAGCCTGGTCCTCCTAGGAACGTTTCTGTGACGGAGGTCTCAAATGGATTTCTCATTTCGTGGCAATCGCCTCTTGAACGTGCACACATCGTTAAATTCTACACAATCAAGTATCGCACGGACGCGCAATGGAAAACGCTCAATCGGGGTCAAATACGACCGGAGGAGACACAATATCTCGTAAAGAATTTGGTTGGAGGACGAACCTACTATTTTCGTGTGTTAGCCAACTCTGAAAAATCCTACGAGTCCAGTGAAGAAGTAAAATTTCCAGTACCGGCACGTGTCAAGCATAAAGCTATAACCGCCGGCGTCGTTGGGGGCATCCTGTTTTTTATTGTTGCGATCATTTTATCGGTTTGTGCCGTAAAAATTTGCAATAAACGTAAGCGACGAAAACAAGAAAAAGGTAACAGTCTGAAGAAAAGCTATACAAGCACTTGAAATGGTTTTTAATGACAAAAATGCAATATTATGAAATTATTGTTGTGGTTGATATAAAATGATGATTTTACATAGTATTCCTTTATAAATTTTGGCTCCGGCTACTAACTGCATGCAGCTAACTTGTCCATTTGCGATAGAAAGAGAACAAAATTCGTTCAAAGTTCCCCCATTTAGTCTATGAGCAATCGGTGAACTGTATTGCAAAATTATTCTCGGTATCACTTGAAAGTTTCTACGATAAGCTGATATTTGTGAAGGGTTTCTCTCTTTTTGGTTTCTACAGTCTCATGTTGATAAGATAAATTTAATATTTTGCAAATCCGGCCTAAAAATATTTCTTATTCGACAACTTGAATGATTGTCTTCATTGAAAAGATTATGTATTTTTATTGTTTACAAAATCAAACTTAAAACCGTATTAGAAACAATTTCTCGATACAAACATTTTGTTGTAGTACGGCATTGTCTTTTAGTTTGCAAAAGACTTACAAGTCTAATGCTTAGAAATACTTATGTCTGTATGTATATAGATACAACCTACTTCCAACAAATAACAATGACTAGTATGTCTTCCCATTTTAAGACAATTACTTTTTAATTACGGTTTTGGTTTCTTTTCATTACTATATTGTTTTGTTTTGAGTTTAAGAATATTTATAATCAGTTGATTGAACAACCAGATTGATGACGTGCCAAACTTTTTTTTCAATGGTACACCTATGTCTGGGATATGTCTCGTACTTTATCATACACATGTACCTAATCCTTTCGGAATGCAAAACATTTAAAATGGTATGAACATTTCTACCATATCCAAAGTAAACAACCTATTTAATGTTTGCCAATTTAAAGCCGAAAGCTTGCATTTGTGTATGTATAGTATTTAACCAATTTTGTACATGTACAATTTAATTTGAAACCAAGCGACATCTTAACTACATATTGTGTAAATATTGAGCTTTGAAAACTGATTTTATATTTAAAAGGACTTACGAAGCTTGCTAATACCTTTTCGTTTTGCTTGTCTCTATTAGTAAGTTTTGATTTAAGATTTGTTCAAATAGAAAGGTGTACCATAATTGCATAAAGAAAAGAATACACTCTAAAATTTACATTTAAATATTTATTTTTAATTTATGGTAGAAAATTCGTTAACTCTTTATATTTTTTTTAACAGACAAGGTTAAATAATTTTTTGGTTGAAACATCTTGAATTATTTTACTGATTATTGACATACTTATAACATTCTTATTGTTAGTTAACCTAACCGGTCTTGTTTAGAAAAACTAATACAACAAACTGGCTCCTTTTAAAATTTTTATTTTTTTTAAATCTTACTTAAAAACCCAAGAACACATAAATACACGCCTTGAAATGACACAAAACAAAGATAATTTAATCCGATAATTCTTAATATGAACCTAAAGGACTATATTTTGTGGAATTGAAATTATAAAAGCGGATATATTAAGCTCGTGCGAACTCAGAAATGAATTAGATAGTGTATAATGTAAATTGTTAAAAAAAACAAGGAATATAGCTGTATCAATCTAGAATGCATCGAATGAAGCATCATTCATACTCAATATACATAGGTTTTAAGAAGGAACTTGGATACAGATTCAATATGAAAATAGGTAATTGAATATTGAATATATACAAGTATATATATAATTTACTTATATAAATATATAAATCATATATATACATATATAGGTAAAGATTTATAGGCGTTAACTGGATTATTTGTAATATCAACTGCTCCGTTTCCGTTTTTTCATTATTATGTGGGATATTAGTTTTTAATACAAAAAAGCAATATCACAAAATACCTTTATCTCTTTAATTGTTTAACGTGCATGTTCTTGGCCAAACCGTCGTTGCTTCTGCCCAGGGCTGAGTTCATGACAGATAAAGGTATTTAATGGACAAGTATCAGGTGTTTATCTACTATAATATAAAATAATACTGGGCAGACGTTTTTTGTAAACAATTCACGCACAAAGACGGTAAAAAAAGGGCCACAAACGACGTCTTTTATTATAAAGAAAGTAGAAAAATACGCTTTACGGCTAATGCCTATATTCATAGTCCATGAATTTAAAAAATAAGAAACTTGCGCCAAGATTCTATGTTTTGCATACTTAAATAGACAGATTTTGAACCAGACCCCGTTTGGCTGCCACACTATATTATTCAAAATCTCGTTTATGTATGCAAACAGTATATATGCAAACAGCGCTATAAAGTTATATTTCTACTTACCATCAATAGCCATTACACAAAACTCGACCTTAATAAAGACCCCCTAAAACGCCAAGCGAACTAAATGGGTAAGTTTTTGTAAATATAATTAACATCGATGTCGTGAGCAACAAACTAGAAACTTATGAAGACACTAAAAGGCTTTTTTCAGATACTACTTTTACACCAATCACCACTTGTAGATCACTGACAAAATGTATTTTTAATCAATGCTCATTTGGTTACATCTCAAGGAAACCTAAATCAAACAAAAACAAATTGAATCACAAATCCTTTACTAACATAATTTTTGTTTAGCCCTGTACCCATTGGGAAAAGGGAATACCAGATTAGTGATCATATAGAAAACCCCACAAAGAGTATATAATCTTGAACAGAATTTATGTTGAAACGAGTCGATATAGTCAAGTCCGTCTCTCTGTCTGTCTGTATCCACGCAAGTATTTTAGGATTACAGTTGAAATAAACAAAGTTGGCATCCAGTTTCTCCTAGATCCGGGAAAGTGATTTTCCATAACCTCCGAATTGTATACCAAAATTCTGATTACCAGAAGTGGAAGTGTCTGTTTTTCTTCATGTCAAGTTTTGTCAAGATGATGGGTCAGTTCTTTTTATAGGCTCAACTCTTCATTGAAAGTATGGGTGTTTGTATAACTATGGGCTTAATTATTTTAATTAAAAATGTTATTAAAAATTAATAAATTGCTCTTGAAGTGGGTACAGGATTTTAAGAATCGGACTCGCACGACTCTAGCATCATTCTTCTTTTTATTTTTAATTCAGCCAGTATTCCCATTTTACATTATTACCAAGTCAATGCCCAATTGTTCATGGACAATGTTATGCACTGTATTTTTATGTTGTATTTTCCTTTTTTCAATTTCAACATTTAATTCGTAGTTATGCGTTTGTGAGGCCTTATACAATTGCTTATCGATTTACATTTACTCTATGTATACATTTTTCATTTACTTTCAATGGACACATTTTCATGTTCTCTCTTAAGTTGGCACAATTCTTAAAATCATTCAAAAGCCATTTCATGTGTTTTTTTTTCTCAACATTTCAATGCCGTGTCCTTGTAACTAAAATACTATGAAAAGCACCTCTGTATATATGGATATTAACTGCGACTAGCAAAAATGTAAATCGTAAATATTTTCGGCTAGACACTTGACTTAAGAAGGAATCTCACCATAAGTTATTTGTCAAAGGTCGGCGAACGCAATAACTACTGCATAATACAGATTCATTATCCAGCCCATTATCTAAGCCCACCATACCAGATCGATAGGAAATACAAAAACAGTTCAATATGTTTCTTTAATGCCAAGATTTATTTGCAATTTCGTATATGTGAACGGTGTAGTCCGCTGGCAATGTATTTATTTACAAATTGTAGTTTTTATTTAATATTTTGAAATGAACAACTAACAAAAAAGTATAAATTTTCTAGCATGTAGGGCTGATCTTGTATATTATCGTGGGTGTCAAATTCTATATAATTAAAACGAAATGTTTCATAACAATTTTGGTTTTATGGCTATATGATATAAACTTCTTCGTATTTATTTGCAAATGGTCATAGTTATAGAAGTATATACATGGTGTGCTTTGTAGCTATTGTAGCGCAAGTATTTTAATTGCTAAAAAGGATGGCTCACGCTGCACGCCAAAATTAATTTTAGAAATTATACGATTACAGAGTTCAACATGGTAGCTTGCAGAATAACGGATGCTCGTAATACGTTAGTCAATAATCATCAAGTGAAAATTCATAATACGGGCTCAATTTCCTCTGGTCAAGTGCCTTTAAAAAAGTGAGTATAAGTCTAAGACAATAGTCAGGAGGCGACGACAACGCTTAAATAAATTATATTTACTTCAATTTTTGATTGCCACATATGCGTCCATGTAATAAACTTTGTGATTGGTATGCATTGCATTAACTTTAAATTTTTACACCGGCCTTAAAATAACCTCTAATCTTTCAAACTTTTACCAAACAATACAGAAAAAATGATAATGAATATTACCGTGATTATGAAAGCGTTTTTATAGTTCCAGGTCCATCCTGTCTTAATCAAAATCGTAAGCAACATCCCTTCTTATAAGTAAAACGTTTTTTATAAGTTTTATACATGTTACTTTATATTTTCAAGCTGTACGTTATTATTATTTCTGATAATATGTTTACTATACTACTTACATTGTAAGTTTTTTCCTTCATTTTGTTTTATCCCATCGTACCTCTTTCAACTGCTTTTTCGAAAAGCACTTATACATTTATTTTTTACAATATCTCTCTAGGTACAAAAAAACCCGAATATCAAGTCTAACTGCAATACTGATTGCCATACTGCACTGGGTATGGCCTCCTGAACGCTGCACCAACTGCCATTCCATTTATAGCTCGGCCAAGCTCGAAGAGAATGACGAAGATGAAAAAAATCATGCCGTTAGTCGAATACACCGTAGAAGTGATGGGCGTTTTGTTTTGGTCAATGGGGGCCTTAGCTTCCAAAAAAAAGGCTATGACAATACTCAGAATAACGATTTAGTGGATGGCACCATTTTGGAGCGCCGTAACAGTAACGTTTCACAGAAGTCATCTAGTGACGATGGAGGTTTTCTTTCACGCCGCAACTTTATCACGGCGCGTGCTTCCTGGCGTCGCCCATTAGTGGTCTCATCCAGCCAGCTAAGTCTCCAATCGGCAGCAGATTCCGCTCGTGGATTTCTTCAGGGATTAGGTGGTCTTCTCAAAATTGGAGGTTTTGATAGCAATGGAAATGAGGAGTGCCAATTAAGAAACAACCCGACGGTATTTAATGAAGAAACAAGCGGAGTACATTACCAAAATGTGGTGCAGCCTAACTACTCTCAAAACAACTATAAAAATATGAAACAAACTCCAGCAAATAGTCGCCCATTGCATATTAACACTATCAGCGGCAGCTTTGGCTCCAATCTTTATCCGTATCATCCGGGTCTGTTTTCCAGCTCACCAGCAAGCGTTTTAACTAGCCAACAGCCATTGCACAGCGCTATTCACTCGCCAACACAACGCTCCGGATACCAAACCCACTTTAGTGATCTCAGTACTGTTCACCCCAATTCCACGGAGCGCTCGCTGCCCACATCATTCGCCAGTGTCGGAGGCAATTCAAGTCGTCATCGCTACTACTCTCAAGATCTCCCTTCTTTACGTACCATTCATGAGGAGTCTTACCGACAGCAGCAGCCGCAATTTCATCGATTGGACGACCACTTTGTCCCATTGGAACTGCCTTCGCCTCCATCATGGCGTAGCTATTTCCATAATCAGTTACCGTACAACAGTTATCGACCGCGAACACGATGGTATCCTCGTCACCACTCTCGGCTATTCGGACGACAGCATCAAGAACTGCTTTCACCACTGCCTGATCTAAATTTATCTCTCCGTGGCACAAACAATAGCATGGGCTTGGACGTTTCGCCAGAGTCACGCTCTAGCTCAAGTGGATTCGGATCAAAAAACACTTCAAATCACCCGGGCAGCAACAATGAGTGGCGTCTTTTACCACCGTACCGTCCACCACCCTCGCCGCCAAAGCCGTCGGCCTACTTTGGTGCCAACACGCTTGAAACTCAAGCAGCTCACACTCAGACCCTGACACCGAGTCAGTGTCAACACCATCCGTATTTTAGGTCCAGCCCTTCGAAGCCAGAAGGTACTCCAATGTCGTCCTATACAATGGCCCATTGGTTGGAAGTAATCTCAAGACTAAACGCAGCCACCGATAGCAGTCTTTCAAAATCTATTGATGTGGGCAGCGTTGACGGGCACTATGAGTTTGATCCGGCCACCCCAACACCCAGTGTAACAACGCCAACGGCTGGACTATTCAGGGATGATCTAAATACAAGAATTGACACCCAACACTATTCGCATTCACATCACAATCCTCCCTCATCAATGTATCAGCATCCCCATTCATTTGGATTTCTGGGTGGGAGCTTGTTACAAGCGACGCCTTCGGGTTTGGCCAACTATAGTGTTTTGGGAACACGGAAGCTGCGTTCGCTGCCGCGATACGATAACGTTGAGATACGTTTGCAAGCCATGCGAGAAGAGTTTTATGCCTTTCGCAAACGACAGGCCATGCAGCGGTCAGGTCTGCCAGAAATGGAAAGCGTTTGTTGATGTTTGAAATGCTAGTACCTAGCCCCGATTATATTACAATATGTATGAAAAAACTGCGATACATTTGCCACTCATAGCCATTATATTTAAAAAATGTGGAAATGACAGAAGTAAATACTTTGTAACGGCATCAACGATGACACGCAATTAAAAATCGCATTAAGACACGATAGTATGATACGATATACATATGTATGTTTGTTTGAAAAGCCTACTGGTAGCTATTTGGTAAATTAATACACACGGAAGTTAAGCACGGCAGAGGCGCAATATAAAATGAATAGAAATTAGGTAGTTTTTATCATAATAAAAGAAACAACATTGTAAGCACATTTAGAGCCTAACTTCACAAAATATATAAACCTTATAATTAACTGAAATTATTACCTACTTACATACCATTAAATTTAATTTTGTAAATACATAAATACATTGAAGCATATTATTAAATACATAAATAGTTACACATAAGTACGTAAGTTATACAGCAAAACCAGGAATGTAGAAAAAATATAATAAATCATATTACTAATGCAGAGTAAAAATGCTCGCTCATCATAAGTACTATATAAATACCTTGCACTCATATTAACAAATGGATGAGTAGTACACATATTAATGGGATTTTATAGCAATGGAAAACAAATCCTTCAAAAGGTGTTTTGTCGTGAAAATAATCGTGATCTGATTACATATAAAAGACATACTTAGTTCAGTATTGATAACAAAAGTTCCCAACATTTAACTGTAAGAACAGTCTAATTCTAAAGTTGTAATATGAAAACAATTGCATTTCTTGGGTCTTATATATATACTTATATATATACACGAACATACACACTTTACAATTTTATCCAATATATGAGTGCAGGGGTACATTAATAGTTATTATTTATTGATATTAAACATAAATCTCTTGAGTATAGTACACACACATGTCGGTAATCACACTTCTGTGTTACATAAGCTGCAGAAATAGTACTGATTGAAATGTTAAAAATTCACAAAGGTGACGTAAAGTATGTTATGTAAAAATTAAATAACAATAAGAAAAATGTGCTTACGACTAAGCATTTGGTTCATCATTTTAAGAAATAAAATGTAAAACTAAAAACGCTAAAAATGCACATGAAAAATAACGTTTCAGATTAGAAATTAAAGTAAAAACTAGTCTAATAAATATTCAAATTTAATATCTTTGCTACATATACCTAATGTATTTTTATAATTTTTGCAAAATCTTATAAATATTTCACCGGATTATTTTCATAGTTTCACAATTTCATTTTTTCTGTTCAAGAAAATACACAAATCTTGAAAATGCTGCATGCATCAATTTTAATTAGGACCCACTAAAAAATTTTGTTTATTTAAAGATTGTACAAAAAATTTAATGGCTCTCTGAAGAAAGTTTTAATGGCAAACATGATTCCACAAAAAAATGGTTAGGAAAGGTTTGACACAACTCGACGCCAAAACACTGCCAGAAGCGTAAAAAATGACTACCATGTATATTATACATCAAATAGTATTTATAAAGCTAATATAAAACAATATTATTAAATATTATTTAAAAGAAAATGTTGTACAAAGCTCGATCTAAAACTAACAATTTATGATCTCAGTACTTTATCTAATAAAAGTCGGTTATGCTTATATTGAAAAAAGGGCAATCGAAATATTTAGGCGAGGGCTTAAACTGGTTAACTGTTGAGAACTTTAAATTAAATCTTTCTGGGCCGTGGGCACTCTCTTTGTTGATTTGGGTTGTCAATCTGACAGATATACATATACAGATGTTCTGTCTATTTCACATCTACCTTATTGCAGATGAAGTAGCAGAATAAACAGATAATGCTAACTGATAATGCTAATTAACCAAATTACATAGTATTATAACTTCTGTGTCAATGAACTTTGGTTTAACTACGGCCATTTGTTTAATCTTTGAGATAATATTTTGTTGAACTCGGTATACCAGTTAACCATTAACCTCTGTGCGTAAATACCCTGACTATTTTCTAATTAAACTCAACCATCAATTGAAACACCAAACAATAAATTTTTATTTAGTCTAATATTGAGTTGATTTCAATTTATACAATAAAATGTAAATTTTGTTTCTATCAATATCTTTGGACTTCGTGTACTCTGCAGAACGACGTTTTAATATTTATTTTAATACTTAGCTGAGATAATTGAAAACCTTGTGTTCATATTCTTTTAAAATGTAAAAAAAAAACAAAAAATGTTTTTATCTTTTTCTGGCTATTGCAATATCAAGATATTTTCTTTTTAGAATACAAATGACATGAACAGTATAAAGTCTGGTTCATAATACCAATATTCTAAAACCAGGAATTTTTTTTATTATTTTTTAGCCGCAGAGACACCGTACATTTAAATTAGTTAGACTATTCAAAGAAATCTAATACGAGTAGCATTCCAGTTTTATTTGAACCTTACGCAAACTTTGTTGAACTGAATGCACTTAATATCATAGGCAGGGTTTTCGAATACAGTTGTAATACAGGTTTGAGAATATTAACTGCATTGAAAACGTGAAAGCAAAATTGTTGAGATACACAAGTCGTAATGACATTGACTTAAATAATAATATATGTATAGACCTTTATTTAGAAAACAATTACTCAATTATATTATAAATTACATATATTCAGATAATTCAATTGCGATTCCTTTCAGAGAGATACCACAAATCCTTTCATCTTTTCAAAACAAAAAAAAATATATGTAACTGATCATTCGAGCACTATAGAATATCTTAAGATTTTATACACAGCTAGCTGTGGCATAAACTTTCTGTTGAAATAAAAATCCTTACAGCATTCTATTTAAGACCACTTTAATACAAAAACATAGGCACAACCGATAAGTAAAATCACTAAAAAGAGTTTAGAACTATTGTACAACCTATTAATTTAAAATGAAATGGAGCGAGCATTTCAGTGAAGTTATAAATAATACCACAAAGTACTAACTGGAAGACATTTAATAAGAAATGAAGCTAAATTAGAGACATTTAATAAAATGTATTGATAACTAAGTTCGACAACGTAATAAATAAATATTAGAAAAATCATTAATTCAATAAATGTTCAGTGAACAAAATTTTTAAGCAAATAAAATTGAAAAACACAAATATAACAATTCAACGGTTTTTTTTTCCAACTTGCAAATGCATTTACTTGTTTCAGGATGATTCGATTTGTTTTTCTACCATGCTATAGCCAGGAAAGGAGGAACATTTTGAAATACATTTTATTTCATTTTGGTGTATCTCACTAATTTCAGAAATTTTAGTGATTTTCCATAGCTGCCGTATTTATTGGAATTGTAGACTCAAATTTGGCAAACACCTCCGTTCGTGATTCTGTGTTTGTATGAAAAACTCCATATAGAAGAGTCAATTTGTAATTTATGCTCACACAGAGACAGGTATAGGTTCATACACCCTTAACGTGAGTTCGGATACCGAAGATAAAATCGATAAAATTCTGTTAAATTGGGTCTAAATTTTTATACTCTGTACATGAAATGTACAAGAGTATATTAGGTTTGCGGGAGCTGAAAAATGTAACAGGCAGAAGGAGGCGTGGCAGACCGCACAAAGTATATATATTCTTGATCAGCATGACAAGACGAGTCGATCTAGCCCTGTCTGTTTGTTTGTCCGTCCGTATGAACACCTGGATCTCAGAGATTATAAGAGATAGAGACACAAAATTTTGCACAAAGATGCCTTATGTGTGTACGCTATACGATTTTTTTTTTTTGTTGTATATTTTGGAATTTCCCTCCTTCCCCCCTCTCACATACACAGACACGAATAGATGCGCATAGGCATTCATACACTGACATAGACGCAATTGCTTTGTATATGTGAGAAGTAAAATAGATCCAAATTTTATAAAGTACATATATTCTGAATCAGCATGACGAGAGAAATCGATCTAGACATGTCCGTCCGTCTGTCTGTCCATCTGTCTGAATGAACGCAAGGATCTCAGAAACTATAAAAGGTAGAATAACCAAAGTTGGTATCAGATTCTCCTATGTCCGAGAAAGGGCGATTTTTTTTTTGAATATAAAAGAAGAATAGAAGCCAAAATTCATGTGCACCTGGCTCTTAGAAACCCTCTACTGAGAGACTTGTGTTCACACAGGCGGACGGACAGCCCAACAGATGGAGGATATGCATAATTCTATTTGCTAAACCAACCACAGCATGGGTGATTGAAGAACATACATTCGCAGTACAAAAAGCTCTTGACTCATACTAGTATGTTTGTATGTATGTATGTAGCTAAAGCTTAGCTCTAAACTTTTTATTCATGACAGCTGTCATCAGTCTAATGCTGAAGTTAATTCGTATTTTTTCACAGTTGCGATTTCGTCTGCGTCGAGTACACTTCGTACACTCGCGTTTAACTAAGTATGCTTGTGTACAGCAAAGATGAAATAGGACGGTTGATCATAGTGTAGTATAATTGCATAAAGAGGCTTATTTGTGACGATTTGAAAAAGAAAACGCACTTTTTCATAATATCTAGATAATCGAGTGATGAGGCCATGTATTTGTGTAGTGGGTTCAATTATTGTTTACTATCATAAATAATTCTAAATGTAAAATTAAAAGTATTGCCACATATACATCAACTATGATCAAGTTTTACAATAGAACGCATCGAAGCATTCGACAACATACTGTTAGCGATACAAATGCTTCAAAGACTACAAACGTGATAAACGTGTTGCTGTGGCTGGGGCTCTTAATAAACACATCCTGTGTGGAATGTGCGCGCGATCTTCGAAAACAAACAAATCTGGAAGTTAAAGTCGGGTCGCATGTTGTCTTCAATTGTTACATAGATTTTCCATATGACTCACCCATACCATATGTGGTCCACTGGAGCAAAGATGTAAGATAATCTATAATATGTACACGCATAGGATGATAAAATGTATCCGATTTAAAATATTTTTATACGTGTATCTAGTTCTTTGTATCTTACTTGTAATATAGCTAATCACATAGATAACTGATATTTTTCCCGTTATGTTACTAACTTGTATCATTACTTTCCCATAGACCTAGTTCATTTAACCATTATTAATATATTCTAAAGATTTTTTCCGTTAGTAATTAAATGGATTCGATATCTTATATTCGATAATCACATTTAATATTTATTGAAATATATGTGAGGTATGACCGGTAAAAAAAAAGTTCGGCAACGTGCGAAACGGTACCGAAAGGTATTTTAATAATTTCTTGCCAGTGAACTATTTTAATTTTTTGAAGAGCAAATAAATTTGCCAAGTTGTGATAACACTTCTTTCTTCCCCCACCCCCCAAAGCCTCTCTTTTATTATTAAGTTAAAAAATGTCTGAGCACGAATACTCAAGAGGCGAAAACGGGAAAAAACTATAATTAATAAAACTACATATATTAAAATAACTTGTGAATACTACATACAATTTGGATAAATACATATGCATATTATAAATCATAAATATTGGTTGTAATATCGATTAGTAACTTAAATTAAGTGCACCCACTTCTATTGAATAGTGCCACAGATCTACAGCCCACAGCGAGCATACAAGAAAAGTGCTTACATTTTGGAAGTACTTATTTAGCTGTTAAGTTATTGAAGATTATAATTTGACATTAAATACTAATTCAACAAAATATAAACACTTAAAATACACCATAATATTAACTGAAATAGGTAATTCAAGCATAATCGGTCTGGAATTTGTTGTTCTTCGTACTTTTTATTATTTTTTCCTGAGTGTATGAACAATGCTCACATACATGTACATGTGTATTTTATGATCAAATTGTCAATTTTATAATTAAAAAACGTGTAGGTGGCAGGCAGTGTAATTCGCTGCGATGTGGGGGTGGCCAAGCCAAGTCGTTCGTTAAGCCCCAACTGTCCAAAGGTTATTTAGCAGTGCAGTGTGTCATATTGATATTAAATTCTCACATTTATTAACAGCTTTAGGTCCAGATCGTGCTCTGCCGAGTTAAATGGCTAAATTCCTTTAAAAAATAATATAGATATCAATTTTTTGATATCTGCTATAATAAATACCATAATACCCTCTCGCACGAGCTCGTCCTATTATTGACAGAAGGCGAAAGCCATTAGCTGTACAATTTGTTCTGTTTTATCATTTTTATTAATTGAACAGATCATGATGTCATTTAACAGTTTTCAGACATATGAGTGCAGTATGTTTATACTCTGTACATGAAATGTACAAGAGTATATTAGGTTTGCGGGAGCTGAAAAATGTAACAGGCAGAAGGAGGCGTGGCAGACCCCACAAAGTATATATATTCTTGATCAGCATGACGAGACGAGTCGATCTAGCCCTGTCTGTCTGTCTGTCCGTCTGTCCGTCTGTCCGTCCGTATGAACACCTGGATCTCAGAGACTATAAGAGATAGAGACACCAAATTTTGCACGAAGATGCGTTATGTGTGTATTCTATACGAGTTTGTTTTATTTTTTTGATTTTCCCCCCCACTTCCCCCCTATGGGGGTTTTCCCGATTTTCCATTCGTATAATCGCCTATATCTCGGAGACTATAAGACCTAGGAACACCAAATTTTAGTCCCAGATGCCTTATGTGAATACGTAGAAAATGTATATTTTGGAATTTCCCTCCCTCCCCCCTCTACCCCGCAAATCGTAACTCCCGTAATTCTAGGAATTTCGAACTACAATTTTGGAAATACCCCCAGTTGGTTATTATGTGTCCGTATGCCAAATTTCATTATGATAGACCGATTTAACAAGAAGTTATAGCCATAAATATATTTGCTGATGCAGCGCTGCTGCAGCGCTGCTCAAGCGCTGCCCGCGGCTGTTGTTGATGTTGCTGTTTGGTTGACTGCGAAAATGCTTACACAGACACGAATTGATGCGCATAGGCATACATACACTCACACAGACGCAATTGCTATGTAAATGTGCAATTATACGTGAGTTCGAATACCGAGAGAGGTAAAATCGATCAAATTTTTTTTATTATTTTCTTAATTTTTTTTATTTTCTATAATTATTGTAAACATATGTACAGAGTATTTCAAAGTCGGGACACCCGACTTTAGCTTTTTTACTTGTTTAAAATGTACTTTGTAATGTAAAGCACAAGCAAATAGTAATACATATACATACTATGTAGATGTACATACTCGTATGTACGGTGAATGTTGCTGCTTATATTCATTTAATTCCGACATACATTCATTGGCATTTGCTACTTAAAAAGATTCTGTGTATTTATGCAAATAGATGGCTGCTTTTCACGGTCATTGCGGCAGTATTGTACAATTTTGCATAGAGGCCAATCTACAGGCAAAAAATTACCGGATAAATCAACTTACGCTTGTAATTTGTTAGGTAATGTTTATGAATGTTCGCTACAGTGGCCGTCGTCGTCATTTATCACACATATGGGTGTAGACGTATGTATATGGGGACCGTCTTTAAAATTTCATTTTGTGTAATCGGATGAAAGTTCCTTTAGCCTTTGTTTTATTAGCTGTTACTGTATTGATTAAGCCAATAAGACTGACCTCCAGGGCATTAAATACAATATGAGTGCACATAATTCAAAAATATCCTGTAACCGTTTATTCAGTTTTGATTTGTGTAGAGCTCTAATTCTTGAGGCAGTGACCAAATTTTATAAAGATACCGTAATAAACAAAAGGTTGTTCTAGCTATAGGGATTTTTACTCCGATCGGTCCCTTAGTAGATTTATCAAATAATTAATCTACTTATTGTTTGTAAGAAGCTATTTTATGTCTCCAGCTGTCATGGCTTAAAAGATTTCGGTGTTTATATGAACAGACATGTCTATATCGTTTCATCTTGTCATGCTTATCTTATATTTCTTATAATATATTTGTCTCAAGTACAATATCATTTTACAAACCTTTCTTGATCAACTTTAGAAGTAGTCACACCCAGATAGTGATTATATGTCCGTATGCCAAGTTTCATTATGATAGGTTGATTAGAAAGAAAGTTATAGCCATATAACCAAGCCCAAGCTCTGTCCGCACCAGTATTTGTTGCTGCTTTTACATTATTATGTAATGCACACATACATATGTACAAGTACACAAACGCGCATAGACACGATTCTGGTGTAAATGTGCTTGTATGTTTGCATTTATGGAATATTTGATATTTAATTGAATGATTTAATTAAATTAATGAACATTTTTTAATAATTTTTTGTAGGGTGTTACAGGGTATCTAAGAGTTGAGCCTGCTCGACTTTAGCACTCCTTTCTTTGCTCCAGATTCCGCGTCAGTTCTCGTCACTAGGGATCTTGAAAGAAAGTGCAAAAGGTGAAAAAGGTGAAAAAGGAAGTGCACAAGCTGTTATTATGTTTTAGTTTGTTTTGATTTTGGTCCCAAAGGGTAAAAGGGTATATTAGTTTTGTGCGATTGTACATGGAACACACAGAAGGAGGCTGGGCAGATCCCACAAAGTATATATATTCTTGATAAGGATGACAAGACGGGTCGATCTAGCCATGCCCGTCTGTCTGTCTGTCTGTATGAACGCAAGGATCTCAGCAAGTACAAGAGCAAGAAAAACCAAACTTGGTATTCAGATTCTCCTAAGCCCGAGAAAAGACGAGTTTGTGGTTTTTTTCTGATACACCCCCCACTCCCCCGCATTTCTTGGGATTTTGAACTCAAATTTGGCATATACATCTAGTTTGTGGTTATCTGTCCGTTTCATCATGATAGGTCAATTCTGAAGAAAGTTATAGCCATAAATAAAATTGTTGCCCATGCTCTGCTTGTGCCTCTGCCTGCAGCGCTGCCCCCAGCTGTTGTTATTGTTGGTTGCTTGGTTCAACTTTGTGCTGCATACATAGACGCATGCAAACACGCTGAGCTGCAGGTAGCGCATGAGCAGTGATTTTACTTATGGCTATGACTTTCTTCAGAATTGACCTATCATGATGAAATTTGGCATACGGACACATAAGTACTAACTGGATGTATCTACCAAAATTGATTTCAAAATTCCGAGAATTACGGAAGTTATAAGAAAAAACACCAATTGCGGGGGTGCATCGAAAAAAAAAACTCAAACTCGTACTTTCTCGGTCTTAGGAGAATAATGTATGCCTATGCGCATCTATTCGTGTCAGTGTAAACATGTGTGCAGTCAACCAAAGCACCAGCATCAACAACAGTCGCGGACAGCGCTTGAGCAGCTCTTGAGCAGCGCTGCAGCAGCAAATATATTTATGGCTATAACTTCATGTTAAATCGGTCTATCATACTAGAGAGAATTTGTTCCGCTAATAACTTTTCTTAGAATTGCCCGAATTGGATAAAATTTTAAACTAGAGTAGATAAATGTATATAGATTGTGTGTGCAAAGTTTGGGGAAAGGGGGAGAAAATTCCAAAAAATAAAATAAACTAGAGATCTAGACCGATCTCTCGTCATGCTGATTCAGAATATATGTACTTTATGGGGTCGGAGATGGTTCCTTCTGCCTGTTACATACTTTGCACAAACCTAACCCTAAACCCTTTTTACCCTACGAGTACAGAGTATAAAAACTTAACAGAGAGAAGCTCAGAATTAATTAAAGGTTAATTTTAAAATAAGAACTAAAAAAAAATTGAACGTCAGACCCGGTGGGTGAAGATTTGTTAGCCAGTCTGGAAAGCTATGCCCGGTATCACAGCCGTTCCTGGTCAGAGATTGCGGAGATAGCTGAAAAGAAAGGCTTTTATTAAAGGAAGAGACAGTTCCGTTGAGGCCAGGTGCAAATATATATTATAGGTTGAGCATAACATCTGTAAAGGATTGTGCGATGCATAATCAGTTGTACATCTATTATGGAAAAATATATATAATTTATATATGTAAGAGCGAAAATTGTAGTTATGTTTCTATTATAAAGATTTTAAGAAAATTATAAATGTTAAGTGTTTTAAATCTTTCCCTAGGAAATATTTTTACAAGATTTTTACATGATTTTTATTGATAGCTTGGTAAAATAGTTTCAAACAAAAAGGTCTGGCCAATTTTGCAAATTTGCAACTTTGTAATCCAAATCAAAACCTTCTTCCGTCTTTTGTTACATAACGCAACAGCATAATTATCTTTCTATCAAAGTTAATGTCGATGCTGAAAATGTTTACTGCATATAGTGATCTGGAAAATGCACTTCCCAGGAATTACAAGCTTCGGAGCTCGGCTGTCTAGTTAACGTTGTGCTTTAATTGTATTGTGCTCTTAAATGTATCTCATATTTGCTACTATTTTTCTGATATAACATTACGGTTGATGAAAAATGTCAATAGATCACCATATGTGGCGTACAATTAAAATACGAGTGCATATTAAGTTACAACATCTGAGCTTATCGTATGCGGCCAATCGGTATTAAAAACTCAACGATCAAGCGTTTGCAACCAAACCCAAACATGCGGTTTAGTTCATATTATAGTTACATTAGACGTAAAAAATGCAAGCATTAGCATGAAAAAAAATACAGAATGTTTCAATCCCGCAAAGCCGACAGTAAAATACCCTGTACCCAAAGAAACTTGAATACGCGCGTAGCAGAACTAAAAAAGAGCGAACCCGCAGTTGCACTTTTTGGTCTTCGTTGAATTGATTCGTTGATTCGCTAATACTATTTCATAAAATTGACCGCTTTGTATAAAATTTTAAACAAAAGAAGCAAAGTTTAGTTTATGTAGCTTTGGAATTGTGAACACTTTTGGCGAAAGGGGAAGTGTATCTGTGTGTGTGTGTGTGCATGTGAAGGGTAAAAATGAAAAAAATGTATGTAAGCTTTATCAAAGAGAATTTTGTATTATCTTTTTATCATATACAATAAATAAATTAATTAAAGGAATCCTTAATTTAATAAATAAATTAATATTTGCTATAAGGAAAATTTTATTTTCTTATAGAATAAAAAAATTTTCACTTGGTATGAGGGAGAAACGTCTACCAGTGAGCTCTTCAACGGTCGCCTGCACCTGGTCAGTGGCCACCCGGACTACGGAAAAGCATCGGCAAACCTTACATCTATACGAGAATCTGACCAAGGCTTATACCACTGCCAAATTATATTTCCCAATCGTACACCAAGTGTACGTAACAACGGCACCCAATACCAATTGGTAGTTCAGGGATCGCTTATTAAAATACCCCCTGTCAATCAAACGATCATGGAGGGCCAGACAGCATTCTTTCATTGCGTGATGAAATATGCGGATACTTCAAAGGTAGCATGGTACAAAGATGGTTTGCTTTTGCAAGAGGTACCTGACTTGGTGCGGCGCTCTTTTATTGGACCCGACGGCAGTTTAAGCATTGATCCCACCATGATGAGTGATCTTGGAGAGTACGAATGCCGAGTCCGCAATTTGGAGGGCGAGGTGCAACTGGCCAAGGCTTTTCTTAACATACAATGTGCGTTAAAATTGTTGTTATTGTTTCTTCTCTGACAGTGCTCTATTGCAGATAAGGCCAAAGTTATCTATGCACCACCCGAGGTGTACCTTCCATTTGGACAGCCAGCGGTGCTTGATTGCCATTTTCGTGCTAATCCACCGCTCAAAAACCTGCGCTGGGAAAAGGATGGCTTGCTCTTTGACTCTTACAACGTCCCGGGCGTTTTTTACAAGATGAACGGCAGCCTCTTCTTCTCCAAGGTGGACGAAAATCATGCGGGAAGTTACACATGCACTCCATACAATGACCTCGGAACTGATGGTCCATCGCCCATCATCAGCGTTATTGTCTTGCGTCCACCCATTTTTAGCATTACACCAAAGGCAATTTATATACAGAAATTGGGCGATACCGCAGAGTTTCCATGCGAAGCTATTGACCGAGACGGAAACAATCGACCATCTATTGTGTGGAAGCGGGTGAGTCGTTTCAGTTCTGACGTCAGTAAATTATACTCAAACTGTAGTGCGTTTGTGAATTTTAGTTAAGAGAAATTCACTCATGGGATTTGAGGGACTGACAACTCCTTGTAAAGCTCGCTTGGACCCTGTAAATAATATTATTTTTATGTATACACAGAAAGATGGGCAGCCCTTGCCCATGGAACGTTACAGTCTAAGCGGCGGCAATCTGACGCTCACGAATTTAGTTGAAACAGATCGGGGAATGTATGAGTGTTCGGCAACCAATGAAGCTGCAACCATAACGACGGAAGCTGAGTTAATGATTGAAAACATAGCACCACGCCCTCCATACAATTTGACTTCAAATAGCACAGAGACATGCATTACCATTCGTTGGTTGCCAGGTAAGTTTTAGACAGCACCCATTGCGGAATAACGATATAAACAAGGAAAAAAGCTAAAGTCGGGTGTCCCGACTTTGAAATACTCTGTACATATGTTTACAATAATTATAGAAAACAAGAGAGAACGCTACAGTCGAGCAAGCCCGACAGTGTAATACCCTGTACCCAGGTAAACTTCCGTCACTGAGTTATATGCGCCCATAGCAGCAGCATAAAGAGGAAGAAGAAGAGCGAACTTATGGCTAATATGTACATGTTGCTTATATTCTACTTTGCTTACTACAATTCGGCCTATCCTGACTGGAGTGCTCCTGATCTCCTCCAGCCTTCTCGTTTTGTTGTTACCTAGCCATGGCATCATATTTGCAACTGCCCATACTCCTTTATAAGGGATTCGTGTTTGTTGGAAACTATCAACATCTTCTAGCACATATCTATCATTTCTTAATACTCTCGTGATCTTGTAAGGTCCTTTGAATCTGGGTATTAGTTTTTTACACGTTACTATATGGGAGTCAAAATTCTTAATCATCACCAAATCTCCCTCTTCATATTTATGAGCGTCTTGCCGTTTTGAGTCTACCCTCTTCTTGTTGTAGTCCTGTGTTTTCTTTTGATTAATTATTGCGTTATCTCGTATCTCTTCTATATCTATATATTCAACACTATCATTAATTTTTCTCGATTCTTCGCTTAGTACGTCTATTTGTTTTTACTTGGTAATTTACTTGGATATTGATTTACCGATCTTTGGTTCGTATTATTTATCGTATATTCAACTGTCTCCAATACTGTATCCCAATACACTCCTTCCTCTGGATCTATTAGTTTAGCTATCATTGGTCCTAATATTCTGTTCATTCGTTCTACTTGCCCATTGGCTTGGGGTGAACCTGTTGCTATTTTTATGTGCCTCACTTCATTTTCTTTTAAAAAACATTCCAAGTCTGATATTATACATTTTGGTCTGCTATACGATCGAAAATATTCTTCGAGGGTCTTTATGACTTCTGTTGTTTTGTAGTTTTTGTTGGTAACAGCCTGACAAACTTCGTAAATGCATCTATTACAACAAATATGTGTTTATTTGCTCTACCTTTGTCAACGGTCCCAAAGTGATCTACATGTATTACGTCAAAAGTGGCAGTCTCCTTTGGAATATTATTTATTTTATTTATTTATTTATTTCCATCGACAAACAGTGCAGTCGATGTACAATACAATAGAGAACTTAAAATAAGTAAAACTAAATAAATAAAAAAGCCTATAAAAATGACAAAAATATCTAATAACGAATCCGACACGGTGGGGGAATTTTATTTGCCAAACGGCCAGCTATGTCCCGATTCACAGCAGAGATTAGTCAGATACGTTATTAGACCTATCAAAACAGAAGTGTAGATGAAAAAATATAGCAATAAAAGATAGAAGAAAACAAATTAAAATTAAATAATAAAATATAATTAAAATTTAAAGGTGAAGAATCACTGACCCGTTGGGGGGAAATTTATTAGCCAGTCCGGCAAGCTATGTCCCTACTCACAGCAGTGGTGATCACTGATTCTATCGGAGGTACCTGAAAATAGAAGATTTTAGTGAGGGGAGAGAGAGCTCACTTGAGATTAAAAAGTGAAAAGTATTATAATTAGCGCATAATACTCGAAAAGGATTGCGCCTGGCGTAATCACTAGTGCACCTGTTAAGATGAAGAGGCAGAAAGTTCCTTGTTGGCCTAGAAGGAACCGAAAAATTGATACGACCTAAAAGCATAAAGGAATCAACATCCTCGACAATCAATTTGTGGAGGAACAGAACACCAAGAACTATTCTACGGTGAGCTAAAGAAGGGAGGTTAATAAGGAGAAGTCTACTGGAGTAGGAAGGTAATCGTAGATTTGGATCCCAGTTTAGTTTTCTGTTTCTGAACCAATCCTGATACAATTTATACTGAGGACACCAAACACATGAGCAGTATTCTAGCACTGGCCGTACTAGAGAACTGTACAGTAACTTGGTGGTGTAGGGGTCGTTAAATTCTCTGGACCAACGTTTAATAAAACCAAGAACACCCTCAGCTTTGTTAACGATAGTGGAGATGTGAAGATTGAAATTCAATTTGTGATCAAAAAGAACTCCAAGATCTTCAACTGTAGATATACGGTGCAATGGACCGGTGAAAAGTCATAAACTTGCATTTAGAACAGTTAAGGTGCAGGTGGTTGACCAAGCTCCACCGTTGAAAACAGCTTATTTCGTTCTGCAGACGAGAATGATAAAGAGGATCTTTATACGAAAAAGTGCAGCAGAATAGACGGAAGGTCTTTAATAAACAGAGTGAATAATAGGGGGCCAAGATGACTACCTTAAGGTACACCAGAAGATACGAGAACAGGTTTAGAAGTATTCGACCTTCTGTGTCCTATTTTTAAGGTACGAGGAAATCCATTTCAAAAAGTTTGAGAGAAATCCCGTACAAGTTAGCTTCAAGAGGAGGAGGTCGTGATTCACAGAATCAAATGCTTTGCTGAAGTCAGTATATATAACATCGCTTGCATCTTTGCTAGGAATGCATCATTTATCAAAGATGTAAATTCAAGCAGATAAGTCGTTGTTGACCGATTTTTAAAAAATCCATGCTGAGCAGAGGAGATTACAGACTTACAATGATGCTGTAAAGAGGACGTAATTATTTTTTCAAATACTTTAGGAATGGCAGAAAGTTTAGCAATGCCTCTATAGTTGTAATGTAGCATCCCTTCCTGCTTTCCATTTTTCCTAGAATATGCAATACATTTCAAACAGTTATCTATATGTCTCTTCGCTTTTTCTTTGACTTTGGGAAACCAATAACTTTTCAGTATAATCTCAGTAATTTTTTCTATTCCAATATGTCCCAGCTCATCATGGTACTTGAAAAGCACATGATTTTCCATTTTCTCTGGAACCATAAACAAGAGAACCCCATTATCTTTTTCCTATATATGACTCCATTTCTCATTTCGTGTGTGCTCATTTTCTTCTAACTCTTCTTTCAACTTCTTTAACTTGGTATCTCTATTCTGACAAATAATTAAGTTTTCTTCAAATGTATTTGTATCTAACGTCAATATCAATTCAAAACATTCTAACTCCCCTAATCCAAATTTGAATTCCCATTCTTTTTTAACGAAATCGCTAAGTGGTTTGGCCTTTGTTGAAAAGTTTTGTACAAACCGCCTGAAATAAGAGCACAGCCGCAAAAAACTTTGGACATCTTTTACCTTCTGGGGAATTGCAAATTCTTTTACTGCTTGCATTCCCTTATCATCTGGCCTCATTTCATTTCCTATCACTACATACCCTAAGTACTTTGCTTCCCTTTGTAAAAATTCGCACTTGTCCAACCTTAGCTCTAACTTATTTACCTCTAGCTCTAACTTATATACCTCCTTTAAAACATCCATATGAGTTTCTCTGTCTCTGTTGCTATTAATATATCGTCCATATAAATCAATAATTTATCCGTCCGAATCATATCCGAAAAAATGTTGTTCATAAACCTTTGAAATACTGCTGGTGCATTTTTAAGGCCGAATGGTATTCTAAGCCATTCGAACTGTCCTATAGGTGTCGTAATCGACGTATATTTTCTAGATTCCTCATAAAAACATGAAAAAATCCATGCTTTAGGTCCAACTTGCTAAAACATTTCTTTCCTGATAAGGGCTAAGCACCGTACTGAAGACTTCTTTTCTAGCCCTGCTAAGCTCCTTGGCTTCTGAGGTGCTGCCTTGCTAGGTAGGCGGATTTTTCCAAAAGCTTGTAACAGATGTGATACCTCACCAAAACACTGCATATGAGCTTGGCACCGAAGATGTTCATCCGGAATTCCCTCTATTATTTGGTCGATCAGTTCCTCTTTGTCGAGCTGCACTTGAGCTTCCCGTAGCTTCTTCTGGTTATAATAGGCGCCAAAGTCTTCTTCCACAAACCATTTGCGTTGCTCAAATTGGCGTCGTAGAAGTAATTTGCAACATTTTGTTTTTATACTCTGTACACCTGAATATGTAACAGGCAGAAGGAGGCGTGGCAGACCCCACAAAGCATATATATTCTTGATCAGCATGACGAGACGAGTCGATCTAGCCCTGTCTGTCTGGTGCGTTATGTGTGTACGCTGTGCAAGTTTCTTTTATTTTTTTGATTTTCCCCCACTTCCCCCCTATGGGGGTTTTCCCGATTTTCCATTCGTATAATCGCCTATATCTCGGATACTAGAAGACCTAGGGACATCCAATTTTAGTCCCAGTTGCATTATGTGAATACGCAAAAAATTTGTATTTTGGAATTTCCCTCCCTTCCCCCTCTCCGCCACAAATCGCAATTTTCTCTAACTTCCGTAATTCTTGGAATTTCGAACTCAAATTTGGGAAATACCCCCAGTTAGTAATTATGTGTCCGTATGCCAGGTTTCACTATGATTAACATGAATGCAAGGATCTTAGAAAGTAGAAAAACTTAAATAACTAGTAAACTCTTAAGTCCAACAATGGATGCAATTTCATTTGCATAAAGACTAAGATCTCAGAGACCATTAGAGCTATAGATGCCAAAGATTGCAAACAGATCCCTTGTGTACGCTTTGCAAAGTATGTAACATGCAGAAGGAAGCATCTCCGACCCCATAAGTATATATATTCTGAATCAGCATGACGAGAGAAATCGATCTAGACATGTCCGTCCGTCTGTCCGTGCGTCTGTCCTTCCGTCTGGATGAACGCAAGGATCTCAGAAACTATAAAAGCTAGAATAACCAAAGTTGGCATCCAGATTCTTCTAGGTCCGAGGACGAGTTTATTTTATTTTTTGGAATTTCCCCCTTCCCCGCTACAGAATTTCGTCAATAGCGTCCACATTTCAAATGCTACCTAAACCAAACTTTGCACACATCATATATATATAATTATCTACTGTTGTTTATTTTATTTAATTCGGTCAATTCTAAGAAAAGTTATAGCGAAACAAATTCTCGCCAGTACAACCCCCACAAACTGCAGCAACAAGTTCGCTCTTCTTCTTCCTCTTTTTGCTGCTGCTTTGGGCGCATATAACTCAGTGACGGAAGTTTACCTGGGTACAGGGTATTACACTGTCGGGCTTGCTCGACTGTAGCGTTCTCTCTTGTTTTATTTTATTGATGATCCCTCTATAGGAATTTTTTCCAAATTCCGATCGCATAATCATAATTGGAGATTATAAGTGCTAGGGACTAAAGGTTGCTCCCAGATGAGCTATAAGAGTACAATGTACAGGTGTATTTCAAAACTTTTACCTTTCCCCATTACCCCGATATTATTGATTTTCCAACTACATCCCGTAAGAATCTCTTAATGTGTCCGTATGCCAAGTCTCAAAATGAGAGGTCAATTTGAATCTAAATTCAATAAATCTAAATTTTGATTAAATAACGCACGATGCATTAAAAGAATATCTTCTGAATATGATCTATAGAAAAATTTCAACACATCCAAGCCAACACATTTTTGGACGACTTCATATTGCGAAATTTTTTGTAGGGGGCCATTGCCCCCTGCTCCTGCCCCTGCCCCTGCCGACATCCTTTTACAAGTTGGTATATTACACATTAAGGAGTTGGGCCTGATCGACTATAGCCTACCATTCTTGTGAAGTTTTGGGAAACTAATTTTTTTCATTATAACGTACATAAGTTATATTTGTTCTTATCTAAGAGTATGTAAATAAGTCAAATGTCCATAATTGTTGAATTAAGAAACAATAGAACTCTGCTCTGAAAAAGATTCTTTTAAGAGTTTTTGAATGTGGTTTCTACTTACAACAGGCTACCTGCGCCCCAATCTTGAATACACTATATGGTACCGATTGATAGACACGCCCGAATGGCGTACCATGCGCGTACCAGAGAAAAACATTATGGAAGCGACCGTACAGCATCTTTTGCCTGGACGAGAGTACGAATTTATGGTTCTGAGCCAGGATAGATATGGCGACGGTATGTTTAGCAAGCAGTTTCGATTTTCTACGCAACGTGAGTATCCTGAAATAGTGTATTACCATGTTCATTGCCTAATGACGAGATACATTTTATTATATTTCAGAATTGGCACTGCTCGAGGATGACAACAATACTAACATCGAAAAAACGGATCAGCACCATAGTTATTGGGGAGTGAACGCACCATGGAATCTAAGTGCAACACAAAATTCTCAAGGTTGGCTTCTACATTGGGAGCATATAGTCACCCATCATCTTTATGAAGTGAAGTGGTGGAAGGAACCGGAGCACTTCCTTATCGGCACTGCAGAAACTTTCGATAATTTTTATCAGCTACGGCACCTTAAGGAGGATACTTCCTTCAAGATACAAGTTTTGGCCATTACAACAAACGAAGACTATATATCTAGCGCTGATCTACTTATTAATGTTCCGTCGCAGCGAAAGATGCGTGCTTTCGTTATCGGAAGCTCAGTTGGAATAATATTTTTACTTTGCGCACTTTGCGCTTTTTTATACGTGAAACGTAGCTGCCTTCTGCACCTTTTTGCACGTGGACGTGAGGAAACAAGCATTGACGAGGACACTGCGGAGAGCGGTGACAGCGAGCATGAGCGCGATACTAAAAAGATTACTGATTCTTCATGAGTATTTGGGAGTTGCTGGATATTTGGGAATAAGCGATTTGATGGAAGCATTTGAACGTTAAGCTAACATTGGAATATAAAAGTTTTCTTTACTTGTATGTAAAAAGTCTTAAAGTTCTAAATTTAGTTCCTCTAAGACAAACATTAGATATCATTATTGAGAAAAAAGGTATTCAAATTTTCATTAGATAAAAATTTGGATCTATTCATTTATCTCAAAGTTGTGAAAGCATAGTGAAGCTTATTTACAAACATTTTTTCTCTTCGTCCCTTAGACTCAAGCTCCGTTGTAGAAGACCTCAGAAAAACAGCCAATACAAAAACCGAAACATATATGTATGTACGAGTAAGGTGTGCCTACCTAAGAACCAACTAAAATATGGAATACTAATTTAAAATACATTTTCCAATATTTTTGCACGCTAATGATAAATAAATGGTCAATAACTTATTTAAGGCATAACAGAAATCTATGAACATATTTGTATACCCCGTAAAAAGGAGTCGAAGGGCGAGCAAAACAGGCTGCTTAATGTTGACGCCCTGAAGGAGGCGTGTCACATCCCACATTATAAATTGGAGCGTCGGGGCCAGCTTCAGAAGCCCTAGATCAGCAAAAGCCGAAAATAGTTATTCCTGCGCGCTCAGATTAAACTGTCTCAACGTAAGGTAGTGTCCCCAACCGTGCGCCTTAAGATTGCGAAATGGCAGCTCAGACTTCTTTTACAATGAGGAACACATAAACAATTTGTGCACATATAATTCTTTTACAGGGGCACGAATTACATATTTTAGCTTTCATTTATGCTATTCAATCAATTTTATTTTTATACCCTGTTTCATCACGATTGATAAATTATGAAGAAAGTTATAGCCATAAATGTAATCTCTGCCCATGCTCTGTTCGTAGCTGTTGTTTTTGCTGCTTTGATTTAATTCTGCACTGCAAAACTATATACACTCTGAAGTAAATTATGCTGTGGAAACTGTACATAAACATATGTCTCCATTTATATATGTACATATGTATTAAATAGTTTTTATTTAATTTTATTAATTTATTTAATTAATTTAATTACTAAGACTAATTATACTCTGTACATGAAATGTACAAGAGTATATTAGGTTTGCGGGAGCTGAAAAATGTAACAGGCAGAAGGAGGCGTGGCAGACCCCACAAAGTATATATATTCTTGATCAGCATGACGAGACGAGTCGATCTAGCCCTGTCTGTCTGTCTGTCCGTCTGTCCGTCTGTCCGTCTGTCCGTCCGTATGAACACCTGGATCTCAGAGACTATAAGAGATAGAGACACCAAATTTTGCACGAAGATGCGTTATGTGTGTATTCTATACGAGTTTGTTTTATTTTTTTGATTTTCCCCCCCACTTCCCCCCTATGGGGGTTTTCCCGATTTTCCATTCGTATAATCGCCTATATCTCGGAGACTATAAGACCTAGGAACACCAAATTTTAGTCCCAGATGCCTTATGTGAATACGCAGAAAATGTATATTTTGGAATTCCCCTCCCTCCCCCCTCTACCCCGCAAATCGTAACTCCCGTAATTCTTGGAATTTCGAACTAAAATTTTGGAAATATTATGTGTCCGTATGCCAAATTTCATTATGATAGACCGATTTAACAAGAAGTTATAGCCATAAATATATTTGCTGATGCAGCGCTGCTGCAGCGCTGCTCAAGCGCTGCTCAAGCGCTGCCCGCGGCTGTTGTTGATGTTGCTGTTTGGTTGACTGCGAAAATGCTTACACAGACACGAATAGATGCGCATAGGCATACATACACTCACACAGACGCAATTGCTATGTAAATGTGCAATTATACACCCTTTACGTGAGTTCGAATACCGAGAGAGGTAAAATCGATCAAATTTTTTTTTTTATTTTCTTAATTTTTTTTATTTTCTATAATTATTGTAAACATATGTACAGAGTATTTCAAAGTCGGGACACCCGACTTTAGCTTTTTTACTTGTTTTTTAAATATTTTTTTTATTAATTTATTCTTTTTTATGGGAGTGGGTACAGGGTATTTAAGAGTTGAATCCGCTAAACTCTAGCATTAGTTTCTTGCTTTTTCTCAATTAATTTTTTAAATGTATGTAATTATTCGTACATACGTATGTATGTTCATGTTCTTAAAAGGCCTTTCTAACCTTAAACAAGGTTTAATAACTCGGTAATTAAATTTTTTAATGTGAAATTATTCTAGTAATTAATCAAATAATATTTAACATTTATGCTATACTAGCGTCCTGCCTCTGCTTTGCACTGATATTTTTACCAAAATTTTTAAAATTATACCTATTAGTACACACACACACACACACACTTAACACACATACACCCTTCTTTTTGCTATGAGTTACTAAGAAGGCGTGAAATTTATTTTGGATATTATTATTTTAATGATTTTTGTTCGTTTTTAGATTTTTTGCTATTCTTTATTAGGTCAGAGGTTCTCTGTAAAAGATATTTGATTTTTTGGTAGAAAATAAATAGATTTTCAGGAGCTATGACCCGTGATAGGTCAACACACCGTAAAACATTGCATCGTATGTCGATCCCTACTAATTCGAAGGCTTGGCCTTGGGACTACCGGAAATTGAAGCCATATAAATGATCAAATGGGATCATCGGTATCCTCGGTATCGTCGTTATATGAGCTAGTTGACCAGTTGCTGGGCCGTTGATAATAGTTGCTACACTTAAATTCTCCTGCAATTCCCTAATAAGCAGTCTCGTCCCATTGCACATGCTTGGAAGGCTTCAATTTCTCAAAGCATGATTGCAATTCCGAATTTTACCCTCAATTCATGTGGCGGCTGTCCAGAAGGGTTTAGTTAATTTAAATGTCTTCAATATTAATCACGGTGTCGATCGATTTGTAATTTTTTATTTGGCTGGGGGCTTTTGAATAATATTGACTTAATATTTAAAGTGACAATGTTTCTAGGATGATTATGAACTAACAGCATGCTATTTAGGATTTTTTAAGGTAATTTATTTACAACTTTGGTTACATTATTTTAGTAAGGATTCTATTCTTTTTTGCAATTATAATATAGCCCATGTTCACCGTCGATAGTGTAGCTTCCCAACAGTGAAAGAATCCATTAAATCGATCCAGTAGATTCGGAGCCTTTTCAATTCAAACAAAAAAACATACAAACAAACGAACAAACAATCAAATCCTTACTCTTTATAATATTAGTATAGATATATACTAATATAATATTAGTATACATATATTGAACGAGTATTTAAAATTCTGGCACCAGTCTGTGTCAGATTTGAATACAAAATATGAACAATACCGGGAGCTATGGTAAATTACTTATGTATAGCGTGGGAATGGGTCGCTCATCTTCAATTTAGTAGATTTTTTTGTACTGACCATTTATGTATCTTATGCCAAAACAATGCTTAATACTCATGTATATGTATGCCTGACTATAAGTGACCAGGTTTATTGATCTGGCGTAGCTTATTGGAACAACTTATTAGAGGTGGAAAACTTTTGAGTATAAACGCCGCATTGTACTTTTCGTTTTTGATACACATACATATGTACTAAAATGGATGAAACGATACTGAGTACGAGTAGGCACGAAATATGTTTGCATTGCCAATAGGGCACTGCAAATGAGTATATTTCTTTAGCCATAAACAGCTGACTGAGTACACACTGAATCAGAGAAAACCCACATGCGCAGTACAATATGCTCGCACATACACATGAACAGATTGTATATGAAGCATTCAATGAATAGCAGACAAAGAGATGACGATGAAACCAACGTTGAAATCGTGCGTGCAATCCGACCTCCCCCTCGTCAATGAACCAAGAGTCGTATATGTATATGTACATACATATTAGAGCTTGCTCTCAAGCATGTACACACACATCTAAACATAATAACACACAAAGGCAATGTTCCACTCAACCGGTACCGGGGCTGCGGCTGTGGCTGCTGACGAAGAGCTTAGCAGCAGCATATCGACGCTCACCAACTCAGTTCTTTCTTGTTCGCGATACGTAAATGTTGTATCTGGGGACTTTTCAATAGTTGGCTTATTTTAAAGGCATAGAAGGTTGTGTATGGCAGCTGAAAATTTAGATAGTCCGAAACATGGGAGTAGCATTTTGCTGTACGTTCGAAATGCTCTCTACTGCTAGACCTACTATACACATCGGAAATTGTTGTCTTGTGAATTTCAAGCTATTTAAATTTATTAAAAACGCAGTGACAGTAATCTCTAGATTTTAAAGTTGAAAAGCACCCAGGCGAATTTAAATAAGTGTATAGTACTAATGTGTAGGATCAGATACTTACATACATACATATATGTATATGTATGTCTGCCTATTTCATATAAGTACATATCATAATTTTTTACATAGACAATTTTGATTAAACCTTTCTTTACACTTCGCCTTACTACGTTTTGTTCTTCACCGAGTGAACCTTAAAACATGTTTAAATTTGGTCACATCATGGTTTTATTTGAAAAAAATTGAACGTGATTAGAAGCTGCCGTTGATTAAACATGAATGCAAAAGTTACGATAATGCGCTATTTTAATTGTTTTCTGCTCATGAGTTCTCGTTATAAACTCTCTAATTTGAAAGCTATTTATGACTATCTCCTAAATTGTTGTCTTTTATAAATCGAATGTATTCTCGCAGCGCATGCGTTGCTATCGCTTGTCTCTTAACGTAAAATGTGTTTCGTGAGCTAAAAAGTACAACAAACAAGGAAAATGTATGCGGATATTAAAATGATAAGGAGTAGTGTTAAATAATAATTTAATAATAAACTTACCGCAATTATAAAAATATGCAGCTTCTTCCTTAAATTTTAAAAGAAGAAATAACTTTTAAGATCACGCAATTCGTTCAAAACCTACGACTGTCACGTCCTATTTATGATGTCCTCAAAGTGGTGTAATTCACATGTTTAATTAATCAAACTTGAATTTAGTATGTTTATCTAAAAAAAACTATGGTGATATTTTTAATTTAACTTTTTCCTATTCGTATATAGAGGAGCGTTTTACACCAGAATTGGAATCTAAAATAAAAAAGAACGGGAGTTTAATGCAATAACTCACTAGTATGGATCCTAAATAAATAACACATATGAATCAGTATTAAGCAAGAACACGCCATGGACGAGTTGAACGTCGTCAAAGTACCCCTGGTAGTTAAAGATAATGCCTGTAGCACACTCTTATTGTCTGCCCAAACAACAACGACAACTTTAACAACTCCCAATTTCTTGGGCTATAGCAGCTGCAAAAACAGTCCAGTACCTACAAATGCAACTATCAATGATAATCAGCTACCAATGCCAGTCTTTAGTAAGCTGCAGAACCCATTACCGCTACATCAGCCAAAGGATACGGATAATACCCTTTGCACGACAGATAAAAAAACCTGGTGAGTATTGAATTGCATGGATTTGTGAAGTGACGTAACATAGAACTTTGGACCTTTAAGAACCATTAGGAATTATAAATAAAATAAAACATGTGAGATTAGTGGAACATGGCATTCAATGAAACTTTTTGTTGATTGTGAATTTAAAAATGATTAGTTGTTAATTTTTATCTTAAGAGGAATTTTTACTTTTAAGTGGTTTCACTAATTTTATGTCATACTCGTGTGCACATTTGTATCTCAAGTCAGCTGTGAAATCAATGGTATTTTATTATTTTGCCAATCACGAAGGTACTACATTCATATCTATGTACTATATGTATATACATGCATATATTTGTATTTTAACCTTCGCCATCTATGAATTATTAATTTGTCAATCAACCCATCATGACCATTGCCCCCACCACCCCTTAATGAACTAATTAAGATTTTAACATTTTGTTGACACGTTTATTAAGAACATGAAATGAATATTCAAGAAAAATGATAAATCGAGAGTTAAAGTTTGCACTAGCTTCTCCTGTCTTCATCCAAACTTTCTTCATGTTTGTAACTTTGTAATGTATTTTGCAGATGTTGCTTTTCTTTGTTGTCGTTGCTTTAACGATTTCGATTTGTCGAAGCTTTTTTAAGTGCAACTGGGTACATGTGCACTTGAAATGTACTCGCGGGTTCGTTTGAACGAACAGACCGACATACATACATATATGCGGGAAAATATAAACAAAGCAATAAAACTTGCCAGACCAGTCAGTAGCTGGTCGCTAACGGCAGCGTTGTATTTATCATAACGACGCTGACGACTAAAGCAGCTTGAAACATAAACTTTGGAACTTTGTAATTGGTATACTATACTCTAGTACATTTCATGTACAGAGTATAACAACCTAATACCGTCGCTGTTGTAATATGTATGAGTACTTAATACAACAAAAATTTAACAATTTTTACTTCTCTCTAGCTCTCAAATTAATCTTTGCAATGGCGAGCTCAAAGGCAACAACACCACGCAGCAAAATCAATCGCCATTACCTAAGGTACAAAACAAGAACAGCCCCAACGACCAGAAGAAAGGCACAATTTCATTATCGCACCTGCCCCAACGGCCGCCAGTTGATATTGAATTCCGTGATATTTCATACTCAGTGACAGAACGACGATTGCATGGTGTCAAAACCATACTAAAGAGTGTTTCGGGAAAGTTTCGGAATGGAGAGATAACGGCTATTATGGGCCCTTCAGGTGCAGGAAAGAGTACTCTAATGAACATTTTGGCTGGCTACAAGTAAGTGGATTCCAAAAACAAAAAACCCAAATTGAATAGGGACTTATGGATATTTAACTTTTTACATTGCCTATTTTTCATTTTCGTTAGAACTTCTCAACTCAGCGGATCGGTTTTAATAAATTGCAATGAGCGTAATCTACGTCGCTTTCGAAAACTATCTTGTTACATTATGCAGGATGATGTTCTTATTGGGAATCTTACAGTACGAGAGGCGATGATGGTAAACCAAATGTTGATTATTTTACTATAGGAACACATTGCCAATTCAATGTATTATGTATTTAGGTCTCTGCAAACCTTAAACTCGGAAAGAATATGATCACCTATGCAAAGAGCGTTGTAGTAGAAGAGATTCTGGACACAATTGGTCTTAGAGAGTCAGTCAACACACTTACGTGTAATTTGTCAGGTGGTCAACGAAAGCGTTTGTCGATTGCTCTTGAGCTGGTCAACAACCCTCCGGTAATGTTCTTCGACGAGCCTACCTCTGGACTGGACAGCTCCACGTGCTTTCAGCTAATCTCACTGCTAAGATCACTAGCTCGTGGAGGACGGACCATAGTTTGTACCATACATCAGCCATCGGCTCGTCTGTTCGAAAAGTTTGATCATCTTTATTTGTTGGCTGAAGGCCAATGTATGTACGAGGGTCGAGTGCGTGGCCTGGTGCCGTATTTATCCTCTCTAGGCTACGAGTGCCCATCCTACCATAATCCCGCAGACTATGTTCTAGAAGTGGCTTCGGGAGAATACGGTGAAGCAGTGCAAAAGCTAGTTCAGGCAGTCAAAAGCGGTATGTGCAAAAAGTATACACACAAAGACTACGGAGTGGATTTAATGGCGGTCAATGACATTATCAAAGGAGGCAGAAATGATATCGGAAAAGGTAGCAGCACAAATACAACTAATGACGTATCGACTGCCAATGAAGAAATGTTATCAAAGCAATTCGTATCTATTACTGAAAATAAGGATAAATTAGCAGACTTGCAACCACCACAGCCTCAGGCGAAACAATTACAAAATTCAGACCGTACAGTCATAAACATGCCATGCACCAATGGAATGAGCAATGATGACAGTTGCAGTTATAGCTCCTCGAAGGGCGGACAGAGTCAAAACGCGGTATCTGGTGGAACCAATGCTATGGTTGGCTGCATGACATCCTTATTAGACTCCCATGAGAGTGTTGTAACGCTTCCAAATAAGACGGGGTTTCCAACTAGTAGTTGGACGCAGTTCTGGATACTTTTAAAACGATCATTTAAAACAATATTACGGGACCGAATGCTGACACATTTGAGATTGGCATCACACATAATTGTAGGTGCGCTAATAGGTGCTATATACTATGATGTAGGAAATGACGCCAGCAAAGTGATGAGCAACGCGGGGTGTATATTTTTCACCACTCTGTTCACTATGTTTACAGCTATGATGCCAACTATATTGACCTGTAAGTGAACTCTCATAAATTTTATGACAATTATCTTTTAACATATGTACATATATCTATATTTTTTTATCAATAGTTCCGACCGAGATGTCAGTGTTTGTGCGTGAGCATCTAAACTATTGGTACTCCTTAAAGGCCTTTTACTTTGCTAAAACCATAGCTGATATGCCCTTTCAGGTAATGTACTATATATTGTATAACATATGTACATACATATGTATATGTAATGCAATATGATGCCATTTTAATTTGGCCACATGTCTGCCCGTATCTTGTATATATAGTATCTTTTATAGTATATGCGCTATTTTAGGCAGGACAAACGTGATATGCCAAGACAATACAAGTTTATGTGGCTTTTAATGTTTACACACCTAGCCCTCCCTTAACGCATCTCTTTTAATGCGAGCTCGGTCTAACGCGATTACAAAATCGCTATCTTTTAACACGGTGAAAACCCTCGTTCTTATGCGATTGATAAAATCGCCCCCTATGGGGGTTTTCCCGATTTTCCGTTCGTATAATCATCTATATATCGCAGACCATATAATCTAGGGATACCAAATTTTAGTCGAAGATGCCTTATGTGAATAAGCAGAAAATGTGTTTTTTGGAATTTCCCTCCCTCTCCCCCGTAAATCGAGATTTTCCTTAACGCAATTGCTATGTAAATGTGCAATTATACGTGAGTTCGAATACCGAGAGAAGTAAAATCGATCAAAAAAATTTTTTTTAATTCTCTTAATTTATTTAATTTCTATAATTATTCTAAGCATATGTACAGAGTATTATTTGAAAACTTGCCATTTGAGTTAACATTTTTATGTGTTTGAAACTAATAAATTTAACATCAAAAATTTGTGTAGGTATTTTTCGAAGTCTAGGAACGTAACCCCGTTTTCAAGGAACGTAACCCCCGCGTTAAGTGAGGGCTAGGTGTACTCTGAACATGAAATGAACCCTGTCCGTATGATTACCTGGATTTCAGAGGCTATATGAGATAGAGACACCAAAACATTTGTACACAGATTACACATAGGAAATCTAGTACGCTATACGAGCATCAAAGTTTACGTAAAAAGTGTGCATTTCAGAATATTCCCCCCTCACCCTCGCCCGCACAAATAGTGAATTAGCTACCGTAATTCTTTGAATTTATCATTAAAATTTGCAAATACCTCCAATTAGTGATTATGTGTCTGTGTGCTATATTTAATCATTAATTTGAAAGGAAATTGTATCAATAAATGTAATCTCTGCCCAAGCGCAGCTGTTGTTGTTGTTGCTGCTTTGACTCAACTCTGTGCTGCATACATCAGACACAGCCACGCATAGATACGTATAAATTCACATACAGACACAATTCCTATGCAAATGTGCAATTATACACCCTTAACGTGAGTTCGAATTCCAAGGGAGGTAAAATCGTTAAGAATTTGTTTATTCATGTTCGTAATTTGTTTAATTGCTATAAATATCCTACACATACTATATATACAGAGTACTTCAATGTCAGGACACCCGACTTTAGCTTCTCTACTTGTTTTAATTTCTATAATTGTTCTACACATATGTAGAGAGTATTTTAAAATCGGGACACCCGACTTTACCTTTTTCACTTGTTTATACCCTGTAAAAAGAGTGTATTAAGTTTGCGCAAAGTATGTAACAGGCAGAAGAAAGCATTTCCGACCCATACAGTATAAATATTCTATATCAGTATGACCTGACCAACTAATCTAGACATGTCCGTCCGTCGGTCTGGACGAACTCCTGGAAATGGCTGAGCGCACATTAACAAAACTTGGTATTTAAACGCTCCTAGCCAGTAGTCTATACGAGTTTATTTTATTTTATTTATTTTCTTCCCCTCTCTCCGCTAAAGAATTTCGTCAATATTGGCCACATTTCAAAAGCTAGTACATAAACAAAACTTTTCACAGGTAATACTGGTATATCTGATATTGTTTTGAATTTCACCCAAATCGGTCGTTCTAAAAAAAGGTTATTAACGAAACAATTTCACTCTAGTACTACGCCTACAAACTGCAGAATCAAGTTCGATTTCCTTGCTTCCTTCCTCCTAATACCAAACTTGGTATGCAAAGCCCGATAAAGGAACATTTTTTTTCTGATGCATCGCACCACTATCCCGCTATAACTTCCGTAATTGATTAACTTTAATGTATTCTTTTGAAACTTTCCGACTCTACGTACAAGTACACTGGTCGGCACAATTATTTTGACGAACTGTACTCACGACTATCGGTGCTGGTTGCTTTTAGTTTCAAGGAATAACGGTACAATTTTCATACGGGATATTGAGTTCATAGCAACAACAATATGTAGGCAAAATATTTTGTCTATTACTCTTCACACCTTTTTTCTACAAATGACAATGTGAGTTGACTGCGGATTCAGGCACGGCATAAGTATTTTGACCAAACCTTGTCGCCGTTTTCGCGTACGTTTTATCAAGTGATACTAAAATAACTTTGGTGTAACAATTTTTGTTGACCTTTTTACATTATTTTCATTAAAATTTGATTCAAAAGTAATCGATACAATGGTAAAAAAGACAGAATTAAGTTATGTTGTTAGAGCCTCAATAGTGGCGAAGTTTAATGCCGGCGTAGCACCAAAAGACATTGCAAATGAATATAATTTGTCGCGGCAAACAGTCCACTATCAAATTAACAAATATAAGACCCACAATGACGTCAAAAACTTGCCTAGATCAGGTGCTAACCGCAAAACAACACCCATTGAAGATCGAGTCCTATTGCGGGAATTTAAAAAAAATATTCATTTAAAGCCGCAAGCTGCTGCAGATCAATGGAATAAGTCGACCAAGACTCCAATCAGTGAGCGTACTGTTCGGCGACGCCTAAAAGAAGAAGATTTTAAGACATACAAAGCGAAGGACATACCTTACATATCAAAGGTGAACAAGCTCAAAAGATTGGCTTTTGCAAAGGAGCATCTGCATAAGCCAAAAGAGTTTTGGAGAAGCGTTCTATGGACAGATGAAAGCTCCTTTGAATATAATTCATCAAAAACAAAGATTTTTGTAAGGCTCCCACAGTTTCAAAGACAAAAAAATATCCCCGTATGTCAAAAAGTGAGCCATGGCGGAGGCTCAGTCATGTTCTGGGGATGCATTGCGTACAATGGGTTAGGTGATTTCGTTCCCATCACCGGCTCAATGAACCAGCAACAATATTTGAGTACCCTTAACGAAAACGCATTCCCTTCCGGTGACAGGCTGATTGGAGAATCATTTATCCTGCAACAGGATAACGCCCCATGCCACAAAAGCAAAATGATAAGAGCATTTTTAAGCGATGTTGGTGTTACTACTCTGGATTGGCCACCACAAAGTCCGGACTTAAACGTTATTGAGAATGTGTGGTCTCTTGTAAAACGTAAAAGAAATGCGTCTTTGCATAAAACCGAAGAAGAAACTATTTCCGAGGTCACTTCTCTTTGGAAAGAGATACCATTAGAGGTCCTTCAAAATTTAGTGGACTCAGTTCCAAGACGTCTTCAAAAAGTTATCGAAGCCAAAGGCGGGTATACATTTTATTAATCTACCATCAATTTCTTATGTTTTGTTTAGTATTAAGCTTTGTTTTTTTTGTTAATATCCATTGTCAAAATACTTATGCCAACCCATGAAAATTACCTTGATTTATAATTTTAAAAGTTCTTATAAAAATATATCCTTTGAATTATTTTTAAGTTTGTAATACCAATATGGAATTGAGAAAAAAAGTTTCCTTTGATATCTTAAACCAATAACCAGTTATTGACAAAAATGTATGATTTTCTTCTCGTCAAAATAATTGTGCCGACCAGTGTATGTGTTATATATTTGTTTTATAAGTTAATTTTAACAAGAAAGGAATGCTAAAGTCGAGCGCGCTCAACTCTTAAATACCCTATACCTCCCAACAAAAAGAAAAAAATTAAAAAAAAAAATTATTTAATTTAATTAAGTACAAATTATTCAATTCATACTTACAAAAGTGGAGACATGTTCATGTATAGTTTCAACAGCATAAATTTACATCAAAATCGTGTCTCTGCGTGTTTATATGCATGTACTATATGTACAAAGTTGTACCAAAGCAGCAACAACAACAACGGGGCGGGCAGAGCTTCGGCAGAGATTATGTTTACGGCTATAACTTCCTTCAGAATTGACCTATCATGATAAAACTTGGCATACGGACACATAATCACAAACTGGATGTAATTGTCAAATTTTAAATTCCGAAATCCCAAGAATTGCGGGAGTTATGGACTTATAGCGGGGGGTGTATCAGATTAAAAAAAAACAAATTTGACCTGCCTAGGGCTTAGGGGAAACTAGATGCCAAGTTTTGTAATTCTAGCTCTTGTACCTTCTGAGATCCTTGCGCTCATACAGACGGCCGGACAGACGGACATGGCTATATAGACTTGTCTTGTGATCCTGATCAATAATATATATACTTTGTGGAGTCTGCCACGCCGCCTTCTGTGTGTTCCGTGTACATTTGCACAAAACTAGTATACCCTTTTACCCTTTAGGTACAGGTATAAAAATTATTTTAAACAAGTTAAAAAGCTAAAGTCGGGTGTCCCGACATTGAAATACTCTGTACATATGTTTACAATAATTATAGAAAATACAAAAATTAAGAAAATTAAAAAATAAAATTTGGATCTATTTTACCTCTCTCGGTATTCGAACTTATGCAAAGGGTGTATAATTGCACATATACAAAGCTATTGCGTCTATGTGAGTGTACCAAAGCCCATCATCAACAACAGCTGCGGGTAGCGCTTGGGCAGCGCTGGAGCAGCAAATATATTTGGCTATAACTTCTTGTTAAATCGGTCTATCATAGTGAAACATGGCATACGGACACATAATGACTAACTGGGAGTATTTCCCAAATTTGAGTTCAAAATTCCATGATTTACGGGAGTTTCGATTTGCGGAGGAGAGGGGGAAGGGAGGGAAATTCCAAAATACATATTTTCTGCGTATTCACATAAGGCATCTTGGACTTTAAATTTGATATCCCAACCTAACAACCTAAAGATTGGAGCATTGGTGTCGTTTATATCAGAAGATATAAGACCCGTACATAAGAAAACTGAAAAATGTGTGGGTAAAATTACCACTGGGGAAAATATGTTATCGGCTCATTTCTAATAGTTCAAATCCATTTATTTTTTACATAGATTGTCTTCTCTAGCGTTTACGTGCTTGTAGTCTATTGTCTGACTTCCCAGCCTATGGAATTGGAGCGAATTTCTATGTTTGTTCTTATTTGTGTGCTAACATCTCTAGTGGCTCAGTCACTGGGTCTGCTTATTGGCGCTGGTATGAACATTGAGACTGGTGTTTTTCTAGGACCCGTCACAACAATACCCACCATATTGTTTTCTGGATTTTTTGTTAATTTTGATACAATACCGGGATACTTGCAGTGGGTGTCCTACGTTAGCTACGTCCGTTATGGGTTTGAGGGTGAGTACCTATATTACTATATATATACGTTCATAACATTTTTATTTTTAAAGGGGCAATGGTTGCCATTTATGGAATGGATCGAGCCAAGCTCCAGTGCAGCACCATATACTGTCATTACAGAAGTCCCAAGAAATTTCTAGAGGAAATGTCCATGGATAACGCGCTCTTTTGGGTCGACGCCGTGGCTCTAATAGGTACCTTCTTTGCATTGCGAATTATAGCGTATTTTGTATTGCGGTGGAAGTTACATATGATACGTTAAAAGCGTTCAAAGGCGCGCGTGCACACATATATATATATATATATATATATATATATATATATATATATATATATATATATATATATATATATATATATATATATATATATATACGTGTATTTGTGTATGTAATACGCGCATTACGGAATGATGTACTTTATATTTGTATTCTAAGTAAAAGAATTTACTTACACCATGGAAATTGGTATTAAACATAAAGTTTGTTCATTCATATCTTTAACGTGGACGTACACTTTTTATTTGACACCATACAAGTAGTATACATACGAGTATATATAAATACATATATAAAATGTTACCTCCTATGACCAAAGCAGTGAAGACTCCGCATTTAATCATATCGCGGTGTGTCAATGAAAACTAGAGCATCTTTAAATCCATAGCTGTTTGAATTTAGAAATAAACATGTAGCAGTTTCCCAATATTCTGGCGATCGCTCCGTCCCTATGTTTTATACTCTTAAATATCAATGCGACAAATAACGAGATCACATTTTGTTCACTTATGTACGTAGCGCAAACTTTCAATTAAACTTTACAAACTCTTTTATTTTCGGATAATTCGGTGATATAATGCAATTATAACTTATGTTATTACAAAATAGTATATAGTAACTGTAAGTATTTTAAAATAATATATGTACGGACTATGGTTATATATCTAATTTTTTGTAGAATGATAGCAATTGAACATCACAAAAAAATAATTAAAAAAATATTCGCCACTTATGTATAATTTGTGATAATATTGTAATAATAAGCAAATTGAATTTTATAAAATAGTGTTAAGAATATACATGTACATAGAAAAGCATTTGGCAAAAAAAATAGCAAATAAATAAATCATATTTAATCCTTATATCGCATTAAATAAATCTATAGATACTTATATAGTATACAAGCGTTGCGCACGCCGAACGTATTCTATTTATTCTATTTATTCCGTACAGTTGGTCGAATATAAACAGGGAATTCTATTTCTGGCAATAATTCTAAAAATCTTGCTATAAAGATAACACTAATAGCTAAATAAACTTTTAACGCTTATTATATGTATGAAAAAATTAATCGTAATACCAAGAACTATAATATTGTAAAAAAAATAGCTTTATCAGGTGAGTAGCTGGTGGCTGAATGAGTGGTACATCAAAAAGAAACTGAAAGGCCCCTTTCTGGATCTAGATGAATCAAAATTCCAAATTTTGAGATTAAAGTGTTTATACTATTCGGTATATACCACGGCCAAAAATACACGTTTAACCATAATCTCGTTGCTTAGGAGAAACTGTGTATAAGTAGAGTTGTGTGTTCGATCGTGGCACTTCGTGACACGCGTGATCGTTTTGCAAATTCCAATTTTTGCGTGGCAGTGCGCATTCGTGTTGAGCCAAAAAAACACGAACATAGCACAATACAAGAAAGGAATGCTAAAGAGCCCACTCAAGGGCTCAACTCTTAAATAACCTGTACTCACCCCACAAAAAAAAATTAATTAAACATTTTTTTTATTAATATGATCAATTAATTAAATATAAGCTAGTATAGCCATTTACCCTTTGGGCACAGGCTATAAACATTCAACACATGCATACATGCATAAGTGTTGATTTCAACAGCATACATACATTTATATCGGAATCGTGTCAATGCGCGTTTAGGTATGCAGTACGGATATAGGTCAAAGCAGCAACAACAACAACTGTAGTCAGAGCTTGGGCAGAGATTATATTTATAACTTTCATAATAATTGACATATCATGATAAAACTGGGCATACGGACACACTATCAATAACTGGACGTAGTTAGCAAATATGAGTTCAAAATTTCAAGGATTACAGGAGTTATTGAAAATCACCTATAGCGGGGGAGTTGGGATGTGCATCGAAAAAGAAGTTAGGCTTGTATTTTCTCGGACTTATAAGAATATGGATCCAAGTTTGGTTGTTCTAGCTCCTATACTTTCTGAGATCCTTGCGTTCATTCAGAACAAGTAAAAAAGCTAAAGTCGGGTGTCCCGTCTTTGAAATCTCTGTACATATGCTTAGAATAATTATAGAAATTAAAAAAAACCTATTTTACCTCTCTCGGTATTCGAACTCACGTAAAGGGTGTATAATTGCACATATACAAAGCAATGAATGTCTATGTACGTCTATTCGTGTCTGTGTAAACATGTTTGCAGTCAAAAAAACAGCAACACCAACAACAGATGCGAGCAGTGCATGGGCAGCGCTGGAGCAGCAAATATATTTATGGCTATAACTTCTTGTTTAATCGGTCTATCATAGTGAAACTTGGCATACGGACACATAATCACTAACTGGGGGTATTTTCTAAGTTTGAGTTCAAAATTCCAAGAATTACGGGAGTTACGATTTGTTGTGGAGAGGGGGGAGGGAGGGAAATTCCAAAATACACATTTTCTGCGTATTCACATAAGGCATCTTGGACTTTAAATTTGATATCCCTAGGTCTTATAGCCCCCGAGATATAGGCGATTATACGAATGGAAAAAACAAACTTGCACAGCGTACACACATAAGGCATCTTTGTGCAAAATTTGGTGTCTCTATCTCTTATAGTTTCTGAGATCCAGGTGCTCATACGGACAGACAGACATAGATCGACTCCTCTTGTCATGCTGATCAAGAATATATATACTTTGTTGGGTCTGCCACACCTCCTTCTGCCCGTTACGCGCAAACCTAGTATACTATTGTACATTTCATGTACAGAGTATAAAAATAGACAAACGGACATGGCTATATCGACTCGTCTTGTTATCCTGATCAATAATCTTTGTGGAGTCTCCCTCGCGTCCTTCTGTATGTTACATACATTCGCACAAAACTAGTATGTATAGCCTTTTACCCTTTGGGTACTACTTAATTAATAACAAGAGAGAGAGAGAGAGAGAGAACAGTCCAGCAATCCCGGTAGAAGCAAAAACAAGAGGCAGAGCGAACCTGACGATGCAGTTTGTGGTACCTATTGTATGATAGTCAAAATAAAAGTAAATAATTATAAATAGATTACAATTTCACTCCAGTATTACGCCCACAAGAGAGATGGGAGTGTCCTTCTCTTCTCAGCTTCTCCTAGAGCGATTAAAAATGGAATCATGACTAGGTCATGCTAGCATCGCATGTAGCCCGGCCACCGCTTCTACCGCAATGCTCTGGGGATTGCCAGTCAGTGTGATTTCAGCTAGAGCTTCCAAGAAGGCACCAGAGTATTAATACAGTACGTGTTCTTCGGTCGGGCTCCGTACAGTTGGTTACTAGTTGTTTTCCCGACTGTTGAGATTATAGCCTCGCGACTTCTAGAAGTCACCCATTGACCATTATTTCGACTAGGGTACAGCCACGAGCATTCGTGGAGATAATATGACCCTATGGCGATTTGCTGAAAACTCATTTATTCTTAAGCTAGGGGCGAGGTAGCAACTATATAAGCACAGGCCACAAGCTTTTGCGCGCAAAAAGATTCTGCATGCCCCAATTTCTCTCAGTTGAGTCCCACGAGGTCCACTTAGCCAAAGCGCGTGTTTACCAGATTGGTCCGACCATCTGGCATCTTTCAGTGCGTTAAACAGCTCACTTAGAATAGCCAAGTCAGGTAAGTGCTCTGCCATGCTGCAGTGATTTTAAAACCTTGATACAAGTTCTTGCGATATGACAATTTAAAAGAGTTTCCTTTTAAATCCTTGCTGCTCATGCATCTCGCTGCTGTGTGCCCAGTTCAGGCTCTTATAGCTCCGCGTAGGGTCAACGACGATTCGTCTTCGGCATATCTTCCGATTCGGATCCTATCGAGTTCTAGTTGTGACTTGGTCTTATCCGCAGATAGTGAAAGAGCTGCAAATAGTTTTCCACCACGTGCCTTTCGAATTGACTTTACTGACTGGTGGTCTATGTTAAGAATCCCCACATTGGCTGTTACCATTACACATATCTCCTCATTGGTAGTGAGCTAATCCAGGTCGCCGATTTCTAGCAGAGCGTGTTCCGTCAGGCCTTTTACGTCGGCAATCCCATGGAAAGTCTTCTTACCTGCTGCATGCAGTTTTCCTTAGCCATGAGCTGTGGCTATGCTTAGTTGCAGCAGCAGGCTGCCATTCTCAGTTATGCGGGTGCTTTGGACATCATCCCGCATTGTTGGGCCACAGTTAACTGCTTTCAGCAAGTCAGGGAATTGGCAGCCGCCTACAGTCTTGCTTCGTCTCTTCTGCCCGCTACCTTTCACCAAGGTCCGGGCACTCTTAGTACTTTTCCGCTCCATATTTTGTTGGCTCTCAAATTTCGATTTATGACGCCGGTCTATGCGGTGCGATGGCGGTTTAGATTTTTTTTGGTGGGGTAACAATTGGAGGCACTGTGCCGGTACACAATCTTAGTACGGTCTTTTGCAGAGACAAGAGCTTGACCAGCTCGTCTTTAACCAGCTGATTGATTTGCCTCTGGCCACCACATATAAGGGTCATTGGGCCTGCTCTAGTTTTGCCGATTCCTTGAAGACCGTCTTCCAGCATTTGGGGGTCCCTTGTGGTAGGGCTTTGGAGTGAAGCTGACGGCTCCGCGGTTGGCATCGGTACAGCTTTAGGTGGGGATCATCCCATTGCCGAGCTGGGCAAAATAAGCATGTTTCTCTTCTTGAGTGAGGTCCACGAAACGGTTGACTTTGCTATTTATGGGAAACAAAGTTTAGAGCAAATAAATGGTGACGTGGGACGGAGGCAATAATGGCATTAATCTATGAGCCGTTTCGGTAGGATGTCAATCTACCTACTCGCAGAATACCATAATGTGCATATACGAGTATATAATAGTTTAAATGACTCAAGCGATTTGTATAGCCTGTACCCAAAGGGTAAAAGGCTATACTAGTTTTGTGCAAATGTATGTAACACACAGAAGGAGGCTGGGCAGACCCCACAAAGTATATATATTCTTGATAAGGATGACAAGACGGGTCGATCTAGCCATGTCCGTCTGTCTGT